ATGGAGGCTGTTCTTTCAGTGGCTGGTTTGGAGCCGTACTTTCACGCACCTGGATCCGATTTCTGTATGCGACTCCCAGTGCGCTGGTGGAAGTGAATGGGGTATGATTGGAACCTTTTGTATTGTCTTGCTCCATTTGTCAAGGTTGCTTTCACCTTTGTTGTATGTTCTTGCATTTGAACCTTTCCTTTGCAAGTTAGACAAATCTGGTCCTACGCGAAATTTCCCTGCCTGGTGCTACCACCTCAGCCAGGTATTCTACCTATGTTGACGATGTTTCACAAAGTCAGCAAAGAAATCAGTGAGTATAAGATGGTGACAGGAGCAAAGATCAACCGTGATAAGTCTGTTGGCTTGCGAAGGGAGTTTCTCTTCTCAGACCTTTTCTCTGGACAGACGAGCAAATCAAGATACTTGGCATCTGGTTTGGTCCTGATATCCAGTTGGAAATGAATTGGTTGGAGGTACAAGGGAAGGCTGAGATTGCAGTCCATCTGTGGTCTTGGACGAATCTTTCCTTAAAGGGGAGGGCAGAAGTATATGTTTCACACATCAACTTGATTCTCCTTTACCAACTTTCTGTGCTTCCACTTCTGTATACCGCACAAATGTCATTAATAAGGCTCTTGTTCTCCTTCTTGTGGGGAGGCAAGGTTGCTAGGGTATCTCAGGAGATCTGTTGCTCCACCCATCTGAAGATGGTCTGGGTATGCCTAGCATTGAGATTCGTCAATATATGCTTCGCATCACGTTCCCAGACTGAATGTGTTGCAATTCAGATGAGGAGGGCACCTTCTGGAAAGAAAACGCCCCGTAAGAACTTCCCATCCCTGAGAAGTGGGCACTTTAAATGCCTCAATAAACGATGAGGCATCCCTCACGTGGCTGGTCATTTGTGGGTGCCTTCTGGGTCGCCAAAAGTCTGACACTATGACGGGGAGGTCGAGACCCTAGGTCACTTTCATTGCTGGGTTGTAGTGCTGTTGTGCAAGTTTGTTTAAAGCCTCATGGTTTGCATCCTGCAAGGAAAGTTTTTTTTGTCCTTGAGGCCAGTTCTTTTTATAGCAATGTGGCGCTGCCATTGACAAAAAGCTCAACAGTACGTGTTCTTTCACTTGCTAGTGGTCATGAAAGTCGTGATTTGGATGACACATCAGAAGAGATTCTATGGAGGTGAGAAGTTCACTTCTTATCAACTGATCTTATACTTTAAACATCATAAAATAAATTATATATATATTATTATATATATATATATATATATATATATATATATATATATATGTATGTATATGTATACATATTTATTCATATATATATTCAAACAGGCATTCTAAATTCTCTCATCCTCAAATATGGGCTTGGCTTCTTGCTTACAATAAAATTAAAAACTGGGAGAGAGAGATGGCTCAATTCCTCGTTGGGATTTTATATCTCGCAAGATTACGGCCATTTAGACCATAAGAATACTGGTGACGTGACTTTAAGTTGCTATCAAAGACTTTTTTTTTTTTTGAAATAGGAATTTCCAAATAGATGAACATATAAGGTTACAAATTAAGTTAGAATAATTAGAACACAAATAAATACGTTAAATTAGTGAAACAGGTAGGGGAAAAAAAAAAATCAAATAGGTAGGTTGGCAAATGCAGAGAGCGAGAGAGACAAAGACAGACGGACACACTAACAGAGAGCGAGCACACTTTGTCCAGCATTTGGGAAGAGCAAATTATACTCACTTATTGCAGCAATCGATCACGTTCATCAGATTTCATTCTTATGCCTACTAGCGAGAATTTAGGCGACCTTTCACGAAGCCGAACTCTTGCGTAGTGTCTTTAGCGGCCGCATTGATCAACATTTGCACAAAACCAGGATGTCGGTAATGTTGGGTCGCGCATGGAAAGTTGTCCCTGCAGTCACCTCCGGTGGGCAACCCTGATGCCACATTATGATGCAGGCTTTGACAACTTCTCTCTGCCCACGCCACGGTTGATAACCGTCTGCTACTTCTACTTCAGGCCTTCTCATCTTCCAACCAGAATTCCACATGATGACTTACAAAGATCGAAAAAGTAAACCTAAACCAGCCCTTCAATATTTCATTCTCCAACATCCGTGGCATTAGAACCAATTTCTGCAGCGTGGAATCCTTCCTCACTGCAAACTGCCTGGATATCCTTGCTCTGTGTGAGACCAACCTTGACCCGTCTATCCCCTCCTCTGATCTGTCGGTTCCCGGCTACCTCTTTCTCCTTAGAAAAGACTCTCAAACCCACATGCACGGCCTTGGTGTTTACGTCAAGGACCATCTCCCACTGGCTACAGAGTTGTCTCTCGAATCGCCAGACTATTCATACTTGTATTTCCGGCTATCTCTTCTTCCTTCATCGTTCTCCATCCTCTCAAGACTGCAGAATAATTGATAGCATTTCTGACAGTATAGACAAGGCTCTCTCTCTCCATCCGTTTGCTCACATATTGGTGTTTGGCGATTTTAACGCCCATCATACCACATGGCTTAAGAATGCTACCACTGACCTTGCAGGCATTCAAATACTTCATTTTTCAGTCTCTCAATCCCTCACGCAGATAGTTGACTTCCCCACACGTTTTGCCTACAACCAGGACGTTAAGTCCTCTCTTCTGTTGTCCTGGGTAAGATATTAAACTACATCCGCATCCTGGGTAAGATGATAAACTATGTCCCGCAGCAAGGCCTCTAATCAGGAGATTTTGAGGAGCATAGAACCACCTCTTAAGTGCTGGTGTTCCCAGGTTCACACTGACCCAGTGTGGTAGCACCTGTTAGGGTCCCAGCTATGGGCAAATAGTTAGCTATTACCAGCAATACAATTTTGAAGGAAAAATATTACAAGAAACAGATTTTTGACAAAACAAAATATTACCAGCAATAAAAAATTTTGTCGGTATTAAATAACCCATTGAGGTTGATATGCCATAAAACAAAATAAACCAAACCAAACCTCTCTTCTGGATCTGTTTTACCTCCATCCCTGAATCTTGTAGTGCCTTGCAGCTCTGCATTCTCGGTAACTCCGCATGCTGTAGTGCCAGTCAACATCTCCTTCAACCTACCTCTAGAACCTTGTTCTGCTATCAACGAGCTGACTGGGACTCGTTCCGTGATTTTCTCCGCAATGTCCCCTGGAATGTTGTCTTTACGCTCCCCATTCAAGAATGTGCTTCTGAGGTCTCCTCCTGGGTCAAAGCTGTAATCGACGCTTTCATCCCTTCAAGGAAATTTAAGGTCAAATTGCGCTCATACCCCTGGTATTTTGCTGCTTGCTCAGCTGCCATTGCCCACAGGAACCACTTCTTCCACCTCTATTGTAGTGATATGTCTGACTGCAATAGACGTCTCTTTGCCTCTGCCCGTAACGAGTGTAAGCATGTCCTCAACGAAGCTAAATCACTATTTGCTGCTCGAATGAAGGAACGTATTGCTTCCCACAAATTCAGCTCCAAGGATTATTGGCGTCTCTGCAAGAGCATACTAAACAGTAGCAAACACTCTATACCTCCTTTGTTCAACCAGTTTGAGGTCCTGACCTCCTCTGCCGACAAGGCTGAATGCTTTGCATGGAAATTTTCTTTCAATTCAACACTCGACTCTTCCAGTGTACCCATACCAGATTTCCCTCTTAGAACTGAGGCCCTATTGAGCGACTTGCACATAACCCCGTCATTGTTATTGGGCATTATCTCTAATTTAGTCCCCACAAGGCTAGTGGTGATGGGATACCAGCCATTGACCTGAAGAAATGTGCATCTGCCCTCTCCAAATTATACAACTACTGCCTCAGGGAATCTTGTTTTCCAGACTGCTGGAAATCCTCATTGATTGTTCCTGTCTAAGAACTCCGGCAACACCTCTAATTACCATCCTATCAGTCTCCTTCCCCTCTTCGAAGCTTTAATCAACACCGAAGTGGTTAACCACCTTACATCCCATAATCTGCTCTCAGACAGGCAATATGGCTTCCGCTTTGCTCGATCTACAGCTGATGTGCATACGGCCATCACTGAAATTGTCTACCAAGCTCTTCAGAATAACGGAGAAGCTCGTGCCATGGCTCTAGACATCTCCAAAGTGTTTGGCATGCTGGCTTTCTTCGCAAGCTCCAGGGTTATGGTATTACAGGTCGATTGTTTGAATTAATACAATCATTTCTGTCTAACCACGTATTGAAGGTCATTCTCAACGGATTCTCCTCCAGCTCCTATCCCACGAACACAGGTGTTCCCCCATCCTTTCCTCTATCATTCCTACCTGCTCACGCTCCAAATCCTCTATAACCCCTTGTGTGCTAGTGGCTTCCTGTCTTGCTAGGGGTGAAATGCTTAAAATTATATATATATATATATATATATATATATATATATATATATATATATATATCTCTATCATTTTTAACAGGCAATATTAAAATTTTTTTTATTTCATTTAAAGGAATTTAATGCTTAAATAGTATTTGGGGGAAATGATTGACATGCTACTGAGGCATCAGCAGAAGTTTAAACACACAATGACTTGCTTTACCTTATTTCTATTTCTTTTGCTGTGACAAAAGTAAATCATCTAATCCAGTACACACAGAAAACAAGAGACATTGAGAAGAAATATTTTATTGCTTGTTTACATTATAATAATGAAATTGTGTTTGTATTATGTACATAAAATATAAAAAAAATCTTCAAATAATGTAAATGGTCTGTGAAATTTAGAAGAGGAAATTAAAATTAAGAAACACAGACAAGAGAGAAAGAAATCATGAAAGAATGATAATGGAAAGGTTCTGAAGAGAGAATATGAGGTGAAGAACAAAAGAGTGAAGAAAAAAAGAATCAAGAAAACTAAAAGAAAAATTAAAAGGATGATATTTACATTTCAAATTACATTATTATCAAAAGTGGATCAAATATTACAGGTAAAAATTGTAGTTTGCTGTAATTTTCCACATGCCAATTGGAAGATCTCAGGAAGTTACTGGTTGTGAAATTTCAATGTCATTTAAATCCAATCTGTTTAACTTGAGACTCTGGAAAAAAAAAATAAATAAATAAACTAAATATTGGCTTAACAGTAATTAATCCTTTTTCAATGTTGCATTATCCAAAATCTGATTGCTTCAAGGCCAGTTTTTGAGGTTAAAAAAAAAAACAAAAAATTCTGACACTGACTTAAGACATCTTATAATATGACTAATGTTACAAACATGGCAATGAAATGGCTAATCTCTTTTGTCAATATATAAGTTTATAACAGTTTGACTGACCCATTTTCTATGGCTTTGAAGGTTATTTAAAGTCAGAAAATACTTTTAGATTCTAAGGATTTTTTTTTTTTTAAGAATTAATGTTATAAGTCTTACTAAACCTATGGCTGGGGGGAGAAGAGGTGGATTCATACCCTTTTCAGGGATATTTACACACAAGTGAATACAACAAATCCAACTGGAATTGGAACCCTGCTCTCCAACTACAGCAGCTCATATTCCCAAATGGTTACTCATCTAAGTATTGACTAGGTTCAATATTGCTTAACTTCAGTGTTTGTACAGGGAACCAGTAGTTTCAATGTGATATAGCCATAAGCTTATAACAGTGATTATACAAATCAACATAATACATATAAAAACCTAACAATCATCTCATAGTGAAGCAATATCTATATATGGTCATTTTTAAAACTGGTATTACAAAAGGTTCCAACCCTTGAGCAAAATACCATTAAAAAAGCTACAACTTAAAAGCAAATGAAAAATGTTTCATTTTGGAGCCCAAAATCGCAGATCCCTAAGATATCAGTAGCTTAATCAGGACCACAATTTAAACATACAAAAACAATTTAATATTTCACTCCTATCAGTGTAGGAGCATTTAAATCATCTGAATTACTGCTGGATACTTTTTGAGGAATTTTATAGAGTAGGGCTTCATTATTAGATGTAGACATATTCAAACACACTTCCTTGGATGATGTGGATCATAAAGAACCATATAATCCAGTAGCTATGACCCAAAACTTTTCACTATTATATTACAATTAATAAAATATTATTAGCTAATCAATTCATAAGTTAATGATTGAATAAGCTCTACAACTATAAAATACTTGTGGAAATTCCCCTGTTGCATTGTTAATTATTTGAGCTTAACAACTTTAACAAAATATTACAATCATAAATATGAATGCTGGTCATTATCTAAAGAAGTAAGAGGCTACAAATGAAAAGATTTTCCATTTTACTGAAACAGTTGCTAAACATATTAGTGTTATCGCCTCGCTTTTTTTTTAATTTTATTTTGTGCATTTCCCATCAAGATCTGGTAGCTTTGAGAATATTTATACTAATTTTCTTATTTACATTATTCGGACTATTGTCCTCATCTTTGTCACCATATTTATCACGTTTCTTCAGATGGTTGGAAATGTTGTGATAAATATGGCGACAAAGATGAGGACAACAGTCCGAATAATATAAATAATGTACATAATACCTCATCTCAGAAATATAGACAGACACTAATTTTCTTTCTTTTTAACTCATTATAATTATTATTATTATTAACGACTACTACAACTACATTATCATAATGAAATTATTATTACTGAGAGAGAGTAGGAAACCAACAAAGTAAAATTGGGGTATAAACATGAAGCCCCAATATGTCCATCATGACACCCAGCCTGATAAGAATATACCAGGCACATGAATCACCACCATATGTGCATGATTATTATTATTATTATTGTTGTCGTTGTTTTTTTTTTTACAAATGCCTACCCAATTGAACCACACAATGTAGAATGAGGCATGTGATATAAATGCACGAGAAGAAAGTATAAAGTGAAGATTATGTGGATAGGGAGGATAGATAATGATTGACACTTGAGCTTAAGATTGTGTTGTCCAGAGAAGCATCCATGTAGGAGTTTTCCACAAGGTAACAGTACTTGGGGAAAAGCTGTCAGAGTGAAACTTTCAAATTAAAATACAATGGAAATGAGGGTGATTCGACTCCATGATCGTAGCATGGTGGTGTTCTAGCTGTAAAGGTTTGAACATTAGCAATAGATTAGTGATAGGCTTGTGGCATTATGTCTGTGGGAAAAGCATCTATGGTGACAAGTTTTGATAAAAACCACACATAACTTTGCAAGTGGGACCAAATTAGAAACACACTCGAGTTGGGTAACTCAGTCAGTGCTGACAGTGCTCCCAAGTATCTTGATGTGGCTCCTAAGTTACCTTGGCTGTCTTATCCTTCAAACTTAAAAAAAGAAAAAAACAAAAAAAAAAAAAAACAAAAAAAAAAAAACGAAGCTCTCTCAACAACTGATCATGATGCTCTCCCATTACTCCTGCTCATAAACAAAGATGTGCAGTTTGTCAGAACCCTAAGGGATACCCCACTGGTTACAGTCAGGCAATTCATGTGCAAAACTGTGGTACTGAACAGGATATTTACGGCAATCCATTTTAATTCACCAAAACAATATTAACACCTTCAATCAAGATTGCATGACTGGGAACAATTGAAGAATAAGTTAGCAATTCCTATGAGACTTTACTGGTTTATATCTGGGTTACAGGCCAATAAGTTAATTTTGGATATCTTTCATTAGAATATACTTAAGAGACAAAGAAGAGTATATAATATCTACATATAAATGTGTATCTATATGTATACATACAAAGATGGCACTTTCTTAAAAAAAAAAAAAAAAAATTTTCTCATAAAACAGACCAGATGAAGCAGATCTTTAAAAAAAAAAAAAAAAAAAAAAATTCCAAGAGAAATTCAAAAATGCTGAACTTACTTTTTCATTGGCCAAGTGGAGCATGCAAACAAATGCAATAGGGACACTAATATTTTTGGCCATGAAGCTTGGCACATGATTAGGAAGTTGCTTCACCAGGTCACTGAAGAGAACAGATGTCTTCATCAGAGTTGCATCCTCTGTACTTTCCTCTTTTGACTGCTCAGCATTTTGATCTTGGTTTTCCTGACATACATAAATATATATTACAATTTATCAACAAACACACACACACACATTATATATATATATATATATATATATATATATATATATATATATATTCCACAGTAAATTTAGGTGGGGTTAGACAACCTGATCCCTTCCTAACAAAACTACTGCTAATTACAATATGGAATATTTAAAAATAATAGTAAAAACCAAAGCAGTAAAAAGCTGAATGAGGTCAGCAAGTTTATTCATCTAGATACATCTTCAATGTTTCTTTATGTAAAATTGTAACTGACATTTCTTGAATTCACTCCCACTGTATATCTAAGATGGACTCCACTTGTTAGCCTGAAGCAGTTCATTATAGGCATGAAATCTATATAGATAAATGCGAATGTCAGTGTGTTACACTTTTCAACTTTACTCCTAGAAGGTGTAATACAACATATCACATACCATTTTGGAATCAGGCTGACTCTGTGAGCAAATTAAAAACCTTCTGGGCTGGATCGGGATTCACAAGTTTTCATTACTGTGATTTTTTGCAACAAAACTTTTTTGTACAATGAATTTCAGAATAATTGAAATTAATTGTGAAATCTAGTGAAAGTCACCCATGAAATAAAAATAATTGTTTGTACCAAAAGTAAGGACCGACACACATCAAATTGTCTTTAAATTAAGTGATTGCAGAAGAATTATCTTTGAACTTTTAAATGGTAAGCTTAAATATTAATGCAATAATTAAATGCAGTTCTTCTGTAGTTTATTGTTGCCTATCGCATACAGCAGCAGTATACCTTGCAAAAAGAAATCTCCACCAACAGAGGCTAAGATTGCAATCAAAGGAGCCAAGGCTGCAGTGAGGAAAAAATGTCCTGTTGAAATGAACACTCAGATTAAATGGCAGTCAAGAGAGCTTTCAATGCTAAGAATATGCAAAGACTTAGGGACTCTCAAAATTCTGAACTAGCCGAAGGCTCAATTAAGAGCCCTCCACAGGAACTAGTTTAAATGCCACCCAATAGGGTGGCTTTTAAGCTAGTAATGTTATATATATATATATATAAAAGATGGACTCCATTGTTAATCTGAAGCAGTTCATTATGGGCATGAAATAATGTAAAGCATAGGAGTTTTTTCCTATTTTATGTGTGTATTTTTTGGGCAGCAATCCCTCTTTTATACAAGTCATCTTTGTCAGTCATCTTTAGTGAAATTTGTGTGTGTGTATACACAGACACATGAAATTTTATTATGTAATTCAATGTTTTCTTGAATGGTCTCATACATAGCATAGTTTGAGATTAAATTGTTCCCTGTACACCCCTCACAACCTTTTGGTATTTGCAAAAAACATTTCACAATTTTTGCAATGACTGGTTTTAACAAAAGTGTGCATAAAGTTTTTTTTTTCTTTTTGGAAAAACTGCTGCTGAAATCATTTTAATGCTTCCAAAAGCTTTTCATGAAAAAAAAAAAAAGGTTTAAGTATAGAAGCGGTATTTATGTTTCAAACATGACAAAATGTCACTAGAAGACCAACAACAATCTGACCAACTTTTAACCAGCCAAAAATGAAGAAAATCTTGAAAAGTTTCCCCACACAGAAGATTCTCATCAGATTTCTTGGGGCAATTGGTTTTGTCTTGGGCTTCACATCAATGAACACTACAGAAGATTTTGAAAATTAAAATCATTTCTACCAAATTTGTTCTTTCTTTGTCTTTTTGATTCTTTGTAAGCAATCATTTGAATGTGTGCGCAATGATTTCCAGGAACAAGTTTGAGACTAGTTATTTTTTTTTAAAACATGGCTTTATAGGAAAACCTTGCCAGTATAATGATTTTGACAGCTCAGCCAAGGTCAAATAAAGAGAGTTCAATCAGTTGCCAGAATATTAAGGGCTTATATTCGATCCTTATAAACATAAATTGATCAAATGACTGCTAAGCTAATATGTTAATCCATATCTAATGTATGAGTAAATCAAAACGGACCCGAGATAATATTTAAATTTCAAGTGATTAATTTCTGGCTGATATTTCTTTCATTTTATTTTGCTGAGATAAAAACTGCTTTTTAAAAGTGACTGAAATATAAGGTTGAAAAGACCTTTAATACTAAATTAAAAAAAAAAAGAGAGAGAGAGAGAGGTGGGGGGGGGTGGCTTCCTTACTTTGTTTTCTTCTGGTACGGTGTGTGTCATCAGTTTCCACAAGGACTGTTTTAATCTGCGAACATCAACTTTTTTGGCCGTTTTTGCATAAGAGATATTGATTTTTTCCACCTGAAATCAAATGAGCAGAAATTTATTTATTTTTTGTTTAATTCCATGCTGTTGCATTGGTGAAACTCATTACAACAAAGATTGCTGAAATCTTATTGCCATTACATGCTTAAAAGATAGAAAGTTGAGGTGGATTAAATTTCATCTCGGGTGCCATTGTGTTTAGGCTTCTTGTCTGACTCATCCAGGTGAAAGAAAATGCATAATGCAGGAAAGTTGTAAAGTTGTTTATGCTTATGAAAAATTAAGTATATATATTAATTTGAAAAAGGTCTTCAAAAAATTGTTACAAGTTAATAGTGGCAAGAATAAACTTTTCAATAGTAGGATTTTACAAACAAGCTGTTGTGTGATACTTTTGGATAAATTAAAAAAAATGAACAAGCTAAATTCTTTGCTTCACTTAGAAGAAATTTTTCTGTTTTCTTAACATAAATAAATAAACTTAGTGTGAATGCATGACAGAGTTCATGGTCAATCTGTTGCCATAGCAACAATCCCAATACTTTTTGATCAGACCTTGTGTGCCTAATTTATGATGTTCATGCTCAACTTCCATTGTTTATAGCAGTGCTTGGAAGGGAAGTGTGAAGAGTGTGGCGGTTGCACCAAACCACTGCAGTTCCATCAGTGAACATGGCTTGTGCAGCAGTTTTTGGCCATGCCCACCATTCCCCAGAGCTCATGCACTGTGACTTTTTCCTCTTCAAAAAAATCAAATCTCACTTGAAAGGAACAAGATTACAAGATGCCAAAGAAATCCAACAGAATACAATGAAGCAGCTACTTGCTATCCCAGAAATGGAGTTCCAGGAATGTTTCCATGTAAACAATGCTGGATAGAGTGTGTGGCTTCAGAAGGGGACTACTTTGAAGGAGATTAAATGCCAAATTGATAGGTGTTTTCTTTTCTTCTCTTTGCAAGAATTTAGTTAAGAAAATAGAAAAGGTATAAAGATAAAAATGTTTAATTCATGATAGGTTAACGAATGATCTAATTTATTCCAAATATGGTAGTGACCAGACACCCAAAAGGGAATTGTATTTAGGGGCAGGAAAAGTGATCATATTTAGTGATAGAAGAGATCATCTGAGCTTTCTTTTAATGGTTGTGATATGATTTAGGACAGGAAACTTGATTGGAAAAGATTCAGGCGTGAAGAGATGGTTAACTGAAAAAACAACTTTTTTTGGTATCATCTTCACACCATGAAACCACATTGAAATTTTTTACAAAACCGAAAACATTTCGTTTTTTAAGTGCTATCACTACTGAGTGACCATATCCAAAGAAACACAATTGAAAAAGACTTACAGATGTTAATAAAAGTAAATTTTATCAACATTCATACAACTATTGTAAGAGAAAAAGATTGAACAAAAATATGTTAAAAACATTTCATTAGTTTTAGGAAATAAATGCAAAATCTATAAAAGAAATGAAGAAAAAGAAAAAAAGGAAATATAACATGATGTCTGAATGTGAAATCTATTTGTTTCAGTTAAAAAAAAACAAAAAAAAACACAACTTTTTGCGATAAAATTAACAAAATAACGAGCAGAAATAAAAAAAATAGTTGCCAGTTTCGTCTTAATGTTAAATTTTATGAAGTCGGATTTTTTGTAAGGGTTTTTTTTTTTTGCCAATCACAGAATAAATGCACCTAAATTAGATATTAAGAATAATTAAAATAGTTCTTAGTTTCACTTTTAAAATGTGTATATTTCCAGGTATGCAAGTCTCTAGTGTAAAATTGTTTTCTACAAATAAAATTAAGTTTCTATCTAGTGAATATACCTAAAATAAAATTAGATATTAAAAAAATACAATAAGTTTTAATCTTGGTTTTAAAATATGTATATTTTCAAAAGAGCAAGTCATTTTTTTAAAGCCCAAAGTAAAAATTATTCTTTTTTAGCCGCTAGTGTTCGGTGGGTGTGCTGCCTATTATAGAATTCATGCAAACAAGGAAAATTAATTCATTTTATTTTTAGAAATATCTTTATAGTTTTATCTGGTGAATACACTTAAGTAAGATTAGATTAAAATGATTAAAATAGTTTTTAATTTCAGTTTTAAAATGTGTATCTAAAAAAGAACAGGTGATACTCGCAGATTTGGAAATGTACACATTCTAAAAATGAAATTAAAAGCTTTTCATTATTTTTAATTTTTAATTTTAGGTGCATTCAGGTTAAAAAAAATAACTCATTGATTTTCCTTGTTTAGAAGAAATTTATTTGTAAAACCCCCAATAACAGCTGACTGGCATACCAGAAAAAAAATTGCCATATTTTTAATTATTTTAAACATGAGGGGTTTCATTTTTTGGCTTTTTAAAAGCCACATCATAAACTAATTTCTGGAGAGCTATACCATTTTCTCTCTCAAAAATGTGTTATCCAAAGAAACAAATATAGATATTTTACGTGATGATTTCTTTTGTATTTTACCAATTTGTTAATAAATATGGTAGTTATTAAAATCGACAATTAATTTGAAAGTTTAATAAACTTTAATCTAAATCATGAATTCTATGACTAAATTACCTTTAAAGCCTAAAAAAACAATACCTACTTTATTACCCACCTCGATTTGCGGTTTTAAAGTTTACAATTTGAGTGGTCTTTAATGCATGTCTATAAATTTTTATTACTCTTGCTTAAAACCAAATATTGACTCCTTACGCACCAGTTAACAGATTTCCACAATGACAGGTATTTTAAAAAACAACACTCAGAAGTCGAAAAGTATATGGGGTGTTTATTTTATGTGACAAGACAGTAGTTTCACTAATTTTTAAGTTCTTTTACCACAAATGCTATCAGTTAATTTTTTTTTTTTGCTGCTTACTTTATAAATTTTGAAGGAATTTGCTTCCTTGGATCAGAGAAGAAATGAACATCTTCCTGGTTGTAGTTTAAGGTGTTTTCTAATTGAGTGTACAATTTCAAGAATATTGATAAAAATTGGTCACTTTGATTTTGCGAAACAAAGTAGTAACATGTAAAATTTAGTCTAGAAAGAAAAGAAAAAAAAAAATCATATTTCGCCTTTTTGGCTGTTCAAAGCAAAATACTGTTTTAACTAGCCGTAAAAAAAATAATTCAATTAATAAAAAGCACACACAAATTACATATTTAGAAAGATTATTTTATTTTCTTTCCAGCCATATGAATATTTTTAAGGTTGGATCAGAAATACACAAGATAGTGCGAGTTGAACAGACTAAGTTGCAAATTTATCAATCTCAAACGAAATCAGATATTGACTGGAAATGCTATCATTACACAAGAAAATGAATGGCTTCCTTAGAAAGCCAAAATACTAAATTAAAAACTGAATTGAAATCCGCAGCATTTGGGGAGAAAAAAGAAAAAGGAAATTGATACCAAAACGTTAGTTGCCAAACCAACCAACTCTGCAGTCTAGTCAAACAATCATAACTAATAAGGAAATTGCAGTATTATAATCATAACCAGAATTCACAACAGTTATGTCATCAGAAAACCTAATATAGTGATCCTCACTTGGGGATTGAAGCAGTTATTGGCTGGATACCAAAAGAACCCTTGTCATTTTCAGTTCTGTCTCAAAATAGAAACATAAAGAAGACTTGATCAACTTGCCACTTTCCTATTCATGATTTGTTTTTCTTCATGTTTGTTGACTTTTTCAAGATGGCCACTGGTGTGGGTGAGAAAAATGGCAAAGTTGATTGGGTCGATATGTCCTAGATGACAGGGGTCCCCTTGGCACTCAGCTAACAACTGCTTGAATCCCCAAGTAATTCACTATATTCAGTTTTCAGGCAAAGACATAACTCTCATGAACCCAGAAATTCTTTATTATGTCCAATTATTTGGTCAGCCTGAATCCCCACTGGCTTGACTTCTGATTCTCAATTATTTTACCTCATGACTCAAACAATTTCTGCAATCACCAAATAGGGTCACTTTTACCATCCTGAAACACAGTCCTCCCTCAGCTGTTTAGCCACTTACATATTTGGGAATAATTTTTGTGGTGAAGTCATTTTAAAAACCCCACCACGAGTTCCAATTTTTTATTTATTTATCTGTTTATTTATCTTTACTTTTTTTTCTGAACTGAAAACTAAGTGCAGTACTAGACTGGCATCAAGATCTCATCAATTTACAGTTGAGTTGGCTATGTGTAACTGTAAGTTCTATGCTAACAGTTTCTTTTCTCACACTTCTTGCAGCTCTTTGTTTTCTAGCCAACAAAATTTAAATGCAATGTCAATCACTATTTAATGTCCTACTGATTACTCTTTTATTCTCACTCCTTAGTAAGGTTTCTGTTCTTAATTATTCCATACCAAGTAACCCCTTGTGTCTTAGTGGTTTTACGATCTTGCTTGGTGTGAACTTGACTAAAAGAAGAAAGTTTCTGCTAAGCAAAGAACATTTTCAGTGGTTAATTTTTTTTTCAACTTATCCAAAAGTACCACCCTGCCACAATGGAATTTTATCTTTATCACTCAGCCACCAAATAAGCTCAGAAGAAACCCTTGACATGTTTAAATTATAATTGTGCTACAAAGTTGTAAAGAACATTCATATTAAAACAAATCCAAATGAAAACATTGTTTGGATCCAGTCCATTTCCAATGATAATAACACAAAACATTCTTAGAATCCCAACAGGCTTAATTACATTACTGTGTAGATTTTATTAATTAGAAAACACTGACAAATTGAATAGACTCAAACAACAATTCAATTGGGTTAGGGGAGGGAGAAAAAGAAGAGGAATCTTCTTACCTTTTGGGGTTGGGCAACTAAGCCATCACCAGTGAGCATAGAAATTTTGGTAGGATCTTCTGTTTCTCCTGACATAGAAATAATATCAGATTGTTGGCTGGCATTACTTGTGGCACAACTGAAGCCAAACAAATCTTCAGAGTTATCATCATTGTCATCATAATCCTGTCAGTGAAAGAGAAAATTAGTAAGAAATTAATGCAAATGGAATTTCCAGACTTTCAACATTAATTTGGATTGCGTAAAGCTGATGAATATCATAGGTTTTGCATTAAGAAAAGAATGAAAATAAAGTTGAGTGCACCAAAGCAAATAAGCTGATGCACTTATTTCTCGACCCAGAATATTTTATTTATCTTTTATTATAACTTTTAGAAAGGTTTTAGTTTCTAATTCCTAAACTTAGCTTACTCTAGCATGATGTCAAATCAAAGCACAATTAGGAAAACTGTACTGTACTTATTTTCCAAGTGGAAGGGGCTTGCCTTAAAAATCAATATTTGAAATCAAGAATTTTTTCTAGGATTGAACACTGATCTTGAACAATGGAGGAGATATGTAACTGGCCATCTATTGATGCAGGTTTTATTACTAATGTCTGTATGGATATATAAACACACACATATAAACAAAATATAATTTTAAGGTATGTTATATTTATAGGTAAAAGTGCTCAATATCTGAGATAGAACCAATGCAAAAATAAAAATGGCCACTGGTCAACACCAAGCAGCAACAGTCAGCTTAATATGTGAAATAAATCTTTATATATATATATATATATATTTCTAAAGAATAATGGATTTATTTTTAATCTGGCATTTTTATTTATTTATTAAACAGTAGGTTAATACACACTATCAGTCTAAGCATTCTTTACTAAGATTTTTCAGATGTGCAGGCCAAGACATAACACATATTTTAAAAAAGGGCATCTATTTCAAATATGAAGTATCCACTATAATTTAACTGGCCATCTATTAATACAGGCTTAACTACTTGTGTCTATATGTGTGTTGCTGGTAACTATCTCATGGTTGATTAGAATCAGTTCCACTGAAAGAATTATCCAGGATGACTGAGCAATCCAATTCTTGAATGACAATCTTGTCTGCAGATAATACATATGAAATTGTTGTGTAGAGTGTGAATTTTTGTTTTGTTGTTTATGAGTCTTCTTTCCTTTAGGTGTTGGTTACACCTGTCCTCGCCTTTCTTGATGCTTTCTTGCTGTGGTCACCTGCAAGTTGCTCCCAGTTATTTCGACCAATTTCTGTGAATTTCAAGTTGCATTTGCTGACATCCTTAAAGAGCAGTGTGTGGTGGCCTACTGGATATTATCCTATGGCCAGCTCATCAGATATAACATCGTTTTTCATGCTACCATTTTTCATTGAATGAACATAACCCAAACATTTCAGTTGTTGCTGGTCACAAAAGGTGTCATAAGCTTAAGAATCTTGTTTGCTATATCACAGTGGCGTTACTGAATAGTGAGATTGGAGGGATCTCCCCAGGCATCATCCTGGGCAATAATGAATGCAAATCTAGATTTTCTCAGACAAGCCCACACTAACACACACATATATGAATAATGAACCTGATCATAATTTTGATTTAAAAAATGTGACTAATTAAAAGAGAAAGCAATTTACTAAGATAAAAATGTATAGAAAGTGCTTTAATTGCTAGATCCTCCACTGTATATTTACAAACAGGTTTTTACATTATTTTACCATTATTGGCAGATCATTATCACAGTGTGGGATATTTAGTAACAAAAGTGATGGAAATATAAACAAAAAAAAAAAAAACAAACTAAATTAAATCATCTAGATTATGTGGCCAAAAGATATATTTAAAAAAAAAGTTAATTTAAAATTCTCAGCATCAACTCCCCTTCATTAGCACGTGTAGTCACATCAACATAAATATCACTTTGTCCTGAAGGATGAAACACATCATGCAAAAAACCTCTTCTTTTTCCCATATATTTTACACACACAATATATATATATATATATATATATATATATATATATATATATATAGGATGCAGTTAGTAAATTGTCACCATTTTATATTTTGCGCATGCACATTGTTTTTGATTTTGTTGATTGCACAGTGTAGTAGGGTCAGTTGGGTACCATCTGTGAGAGAAAGAGCCCCATGATACAATTCACTCTACCAGAAATCTGAAAATGGCATATATTAGTTACCTCCCCTGAAATTAACATCATGAAATTTAAATCCTACAGTACATAACCTTAGTGTTTTTCACTTCACAGTTAAAAAAATTTAACTTTCAGATGAACACAACAATTTTGTCTTAGAAATAATAAACCCAACACCCTGATGACATCGTGCTAATGTCAAAAATACTTTGAATAAATGAATATGTATCAATGATAATTTTCTCTTTTCCTTTAATAAGGATACTAAGAAGCTTGTCCATTAATATGAGAGGATCCTATTGAAAATAAGTTGACAAAACTTGTCTCAATTATTCAATGAGACATATCTTTCCTTTATAAAGAGATGGAGTTAGCTTTTAATCTGTGTATATGTCTCTTCAAAGATCCCAAGTTCATTTGGATTTAATTTTATATTGAAAATCAAAAAAGTTTAGTCATAAACAGACTAAAGGAAAAATAATACATGCTGATCTGAAATTTGATGTCATATTGAAAGAATCCGAGCTTTCCTCTTGATTCTATAAAGTCAAATTGAAAACATCTTTAATATTCAGATCTCTTTGCTATATCTATTCTACATTTCATTATAAGAAATTAGGTTTTATATATATGTGATGATCTTAAAATATGGTTGGGCTAAAACACCCAACCATATTATGAAAAAAAAAAGAAAAGAAAAAATAAGTATTTTTGCTTTAAAATATATGTAAAATAGAATTGTTTACATGGTCTTGTAGAGGAAGACCTATTCTTCACTATACACCTATTGCTACTTCCAAGTAGTTACACCAGTTCATACTTTTACAACTAAAATATGCCATGCCACATCCACAGAGTCGAATCACCCTCATTGACTCCATATCCCAAATGTAAGAACATTACACACAGTTTTTTCCAAGAAATGCTATTTTATGGAACAGCTTACTTGAACACGGCAATCTTAACCTGTTCAAGTATATAGTTAATCATTATCTACCCTCCTTATCCTCATGATATTTACTTCTTACCAGCTCCTCTATCATTCATATCACACTCATACATCATAAACATTTTAACAGTAACTCCCTCTACATTGAATTGCTCTCAAGCCTTGTATTAGCCTAACTTTACTATAGGAAAAAAAAAAATTTTTTTTCAGAGACATGTAAAAGTACAATTACTATCATTGTTATAAAAAAAGCCTTGAATTTTACACTAACTTATAAGGAATGAGAAATTACAGAAAAATGAGTTTAGTACAAGACTGACCTGGTTGAAATCAGGGCAAAAGTTCTGCTTGTCATTGTCATTGTCATAATCATAGCCAACGACCAAATCATCATCAGTGGTGGCAAGTGTGGCTTGGCGACGAACCTGAAAATATAACAATGAGGCATTAAAAAAAAAACAAAAAACGGTTTCCTTCTTTTTGACATATTCAGTCTTCCATAAGTAATAATGTTAACCATTGTTCTTTTTTTGGGGTTGACATTTGGTTGGATACTAGATTTAATGTGAAAAGCAAATAAAAAAAAAAAGAAAAAAAAAAGGACAAAACAATGGACAACACTTGACAGAATCAATCAATAATAATTTCAAAATCCTTTAAGTGCTCAAATGCTCCCTCAAGTTTCACAGCTTACAGTCAGGAGCACCTGAATGCACCAGCAATACCCAGAGAAACACCCATCACATGATTAACTAGGCGCTGGAAATCTACAACTTTTACCAAATTGTAGATTACCAAAACCAAATCTCAACCATAATACCAAGGAAGTTATATTTGGTATCATTTGAAAGAGAAATCAATTTAATTTCATATATAAATCAACTTCTAATCCTTAATCTTTAATGGCTTTTGAGATTATCAATTTAATTGCACTAACATCACATATTCGGATTTTTCAACAATTCAGTCAGGACTCCAGGGATTTAACATGAAAATAAGAGAGAGAGTTATTGTTAACAAATAGCAATTGTCATTGGTAAGTCTTGTATGAATACCAAGTTTAAAGCACAGGTTAACCGTTACTTATGTGAATGACTGGTGAAGTAAAACCTTATAATCATATACAGTCAACAACAAAATTATTTGTACACCCATCAATTTTGAATATTTTTATCCATTTCTCAGTCTATATGATGTTAGTGTTTTTATATGTTAATTAGAACAAAAAAGGAATATAAAACTCAATTTTCAGAACAATAGTGTAAATACAACAAATTTGACAGGTTAATTATGCAAAATATGAAAAGAAAATTATTTGTACAGTAGAAAATATCTTTTTAAAGGGATTGATTCATCTAAGTATAATTTACATAATTATTTTATCAGTAAAGCCTTCTAGACTATTTATTCAGTAGAATAATTGTGATAATTCCAGCAAAGAACATCACGTGGTGCATAGAGTGTCACCATTGATATTTGTATGTTTGACAACATGATAGGGAAGATAAAGGAGCTTAGTGGTGACTTGAGACAGAGAATTACTAACTTCCAAAAGTCGGGAAATAGTTACAGCACTATTTAAAATCACTTAGCTATCTCTAGATCTATGGTACAGTCCATTATATAGAAGTTTAAATGATTTGGCACGACAGAGAATTTGCCTGGACATGGAAGAAAACCCAAATTATCATCAAGAACTGCATGAAAATTGTGTAGTGAGGTTAATATAAACCTAAGAGTTGTTTAAAAGACATCGCCAATAGTTTGGATACAATGGGTATCAGCGTAAGTACTCGCACAATACAACATTGTTTAAATAGAAATGGGTTGTATGGAAACTGACCACAATGAACCCCTCTTCACAAACCATGTCACATTGTTGCTTGGTTTAATTTTGCCAAAATATTCTTGGACAAAGAAAATTGCTTTTGGGAACAAGTACAATGGAGTGATGAAACAAAAATTGAGCTTTTTGGATATACTGATGTACAGAAGATTTGGTACAAGGTGAGGCATTCCTTTCACAAAACAAAGTGGCAACATTAAAACATGGAGGTGAATCGATGTTTTGGGGTTGTTTTAGCACAAGGGGAACTGGAGAATTAATTGCAATAACAGGAATAAATGAAATCTGCAGACTATATCAAAATTCTGCATGAAAATCTACAACTATCAGCGCAAAATCTAGGTTGGCAATTTACTTTCCAGCAAGATAACAATCCCAAGCATACGTCTAAATCAGTGATTGTGTGGCTTCAGAAAAAGAAGGATTACAGTTCTGTCATGGCCTTCAATGAATCCTTATTTGAATCCTATTAAAAATCTATGGCAAGAATTGGAAGTTTGAATAAATTGTTGGTCACGAAAAAACCTTCAGGACTTAGAGCATGTAGCCATTGAAGAACGGAAGAAAATCCCAGAAAAGACTTGTTCAAATCTCATCAAAAACTTTAGAAAACAATTACAATTTCTATTTTATTGTGAAAATTGTTTAATTTTTCATACTGTAATTTTGCTTTTCCTATTTTAATTTTGCCTGCATTTAACCTGTTGTTCAGAAAATTGGGTTTTATATTCCTTTTTTTGTGCTTATTTACATATAAAAACCGGGCATTATTTAGGCATTAGTTCTGAGAAATGGATAAAAATATTCAAAATTGATGGACGTACGAATAATTTTGTTGTTGACTGTACGTAACCATTTTATTCTACATAGAAAGTAACTGGTAATGAAAAAAAAAAAAAAAGAATCAGTTCAAGTTAAATGATAAAAGAAACAGAGACATTAAAAGAAAATTTTAAATTTTGCTGAAGTAGAGGCAAAATAAGTTTGGCACAAGGAAGTTGATTAATACTATCTAAATTTACATATTTTTACTTTAGAGAAATAAGCATTTTTTGCGTTTCTGAATTTGTATTAACAGGCACTGCTGCTACAGGCACCAGTGGTGGCAGGTTAGTTGAATTATTAGAAAAATTTATTAATATGCAAACTGGAATAATGTCTGGATGAAAAGTGGAACCAGTTTACATGTGGTTGGACTATCAACAGTTGTCATGTAAAATCAGGGTCAATAAACCTAGCACATGTTTACTTACAGCTTCAATAGTAGGAAAAAAAAAATTTGACGTGTTGTTAAAACCAAATACAACTCTGACAAGTATCAGTTGTACAAGTTTTTTTTTTTTTTTGCTAGTTTTCTTTGCAGCCAATCATGGTTCTTTACATATTTTGGCAGATTGCTATCATTTCTTATGAAATATAGAGTGGTTGGCAACCAGTTTAGGAGAAGGAACACTGTGAATTCAAAACTAGTTGAGTCTGGGGCTGGCACCTCCACCCTCTAAAAAAAAATTACCTGCTATGGAAGCCACCACAGCAACATTTGCGTGGTGAGGTTGAGGCCCTACACTCCACATGGAGCAAAAACCTTTTTCTTTTTCTTCTAACAGTGAAAAAAATTAATAAATCCCAGTGTATCACATAAGCAGGACTGTTGCCTGATATCAGTCAAACCCATGTCTAATTTATTGATGATTTACTATTAAACATATTTGAATACAAGTTCTTATTTGATTGCTGCTGTAGAAAAAACATACTAATTGATCCTGGTGAGCAGATTATTTTAAAACATAAAATTTTTCAAGATTTTATGGCAGTTTTTATTGTTATAAATACATGAACTAACCAAAATATTGTAAAGAGAATTATTACCATAATGCTAGGCTTCCAGAAACATCCAAAGAGTGCTTGTGGCTGGTAGTTGAGCATTTTGGGCAAGAGGAGACTTGTAGTTTCCATAACCTCCAGACGTTTCTTGGTCAGGACACAATTACGAGCCTTCTTGAAATCAGATTGAAAATCTTTTTCCTGTTCAAAGTCAAGTTGGAATTTGACTTTTTTCACTGATGTCTTTGCCTGTGAAGGTTTGCAGCTGGCTGTATCTGAAGAGAAAGTACCAGTGAGGTTAAATTCAATTCATTACTTCTTTTGAAAATATAATGAATAATAAAAATGAGGCTCAAAGTTAAACTTATTGAATGGTATAAATTTTAACGTAAATCCAATACTTTTCATTGTGGAGTAAATAAGAGACACCTGGTAATACAAATGAACTTTGTAAGATGCCTTAAATAAAGAACTCAGAGTAAATAGAAGAACATCCATATGAAATAATTATTAGACCAAGTGGTAAAAATGCAACAACAGAAGTTGTTGGAACTCCAGAAATAACAAAATTTAATTGAAATAATATGGAAGCAAATGGAAAATACTCCAAGTTCTTTCTCTCCCGACACAGTCAAATGCCATAGATGAATTCACATATAATTCAAATGATGGAATTACCTTTCCTGCTTATTGAAGATGAGAAAAAAACATAACTTTTGTTAAGTAAGCAAGTAGAACATGAAAAATACTGTAATTTTGAACTACTGAAAAAGCCAGGAGAAATTTGCTTTGAAGAAACAGTAAATATTCAGATTAAAATTTTTAGGGAGAAAAGTTTATTTAATACTCGTTGGAAGTGTATGAATCTGATGAAAAAAGAAGACAAAGATTTTGTCATATGCTGGAATTGTTAACAAGGAGTGTGAAAAATTCAAATTAAATGAATTGACTCGGAAGAAATTGAAAAGAAAAGAATGTGTGTGTATATATATATATATATAAGCTAAAGAAAAATGTGGAAAAAGAAAAATTAATCAATATTTCAGATGTGGAAGGTTACTGACCTCTATTATTAATTTATGGTTAAAAAAGAAAAAAAGAATTCTTATGCATATAGCGAGTAGATTACAATGCTGGGGTTATTGAATTACAATTTCAAGATGGAATACCAACCATCAAAAAAAAATTGGACATGTGGATGGTTTATCAAGATTGATACCAAAAAAGACAGAAATGTTTGAGGAGACTGTTATTGCAGCATTAAAAAGTGAAATAGAAATTAAAAATATATTATGCCATGTAGTACGCGAACTATCAATTACCCTGGAAGAAATAAAAGTAGAAGCAAAACAAGAAATGTTTATTTTGAAAAAAAAAAAAAAAAAAACGACTAAAACAAGTAAGAAAGATAAACAATTTTTAGAATGCAATCCAGATTTGAACGCTTACTCGCTATGTGACAGAGTATTGGTGTTTGCTCAAAGAGTAGTAATACCTATCATATTACAAAAGTAAATATTAAATGGATTTCAAGGGTAAAATCTCTTATGGGAAGTTATGTATACTGAACCAAAATGGATCAAGACATTGAAAAATTAGTAAAAGCCTGTAGAGGTTGTGCTCTGGCAACAAAATCACCTACCACAAATTTACAATCTTGACCATGTGGTCAAGACTGCACATAGATCTTGCAAGTCCAATAAACAAATTACATTATGATTTTTGAAATTTCTCCATACAGGAAATATTAAAGAGTGTCGATGCAACTTACTTCGAGCCATTGGATGAATCTTCCAATGGGATGGCCCCTTCCAGGTCTGCAAAAGTTTTTTATTGAAGAAAGAATATTCAGATGGAGCAGAAGCCAAGAAATCCACCATTGAACGAGCATTGCTAGAGAAAAAGATGATAAGAATCATGATGATAATGATATACATCTTATTTAATAGATATTTATGAAGTAGGCATGGAAATTGGTAAAAATTAAAACAAATGTATGTAGCATAAAGTACAAAAAAAAAGATAGGAGGTTGTGTATTCAAAAAGTTATTCAGACAATGGAACCAATTCCTTGTGTTATTTACACTTTTGACACATTTCAGTTGATCCATTCTATGAATGAAAAGCGATACATTGCACAAAACCAACCCATAATGGTTATGACATAGTAAAATCAATTTGTTGTTGGTCAATACTAGGTAAACTGCAACATCAATTTAATCTAAAATGTAACCAATATATCCTTTCTGTAATCAAGCGCATATCATTTGTCAAGTGAACTGAATATTGATGGTAATTAGTACATAAAATAATTTTTTTTTTTTAAACATTTTGTATTTTTGTTAATGCACTTTTAAAAACTATGAGTACAAAATGTTTTAACACAGACAGACAGTTGTATTTGACATTCACATTCAGGTCACTGTTCAAATAGCATTTAACAGAGCATAAAAAATTTCTTCAGATAAAAAATTTTTCTGCATAGGTTGGTACAGACTGTAGGAAAACCAATATTTTTTGTAATTTTAATAATAAACACTGAATTAATCATTTGATATTATTCTTTCAAATACTTTTTATGAGTTCTTCTTTTCTTTCACTATTTCCTTCTTTCATTGGGTGTGGTCGAATGTGTGGGTGACATGAAATAAACATCATTATCACCTTGGCTCACTTTTTTTCTTAAATTTATTTGATGCAACTGAACTCAGTGAAGTTTGCCAATTGTTGCTTTAAATATTGTTTTTGTTTTAAATTTAAAGATTCAATTGAATAAAACAGAAAAACAACTTTTGTTCTGTCAATTTAAAAATTTTATTCAGTCATAATTCTCACAAAAGTATAATTTCTAAATCAAACTGTGATTAAGTATAAATACTGTTTCTGTTTTGTACTAATTTAATTAAAAAAAAAAGAAAAGAAGTTGTTCTGTCAAGTGATCAATCATGATTAAAATTGTTTTTTTTGAGATGATGGTTAAAAAAAAAAAAAAAAAACAAACAAACAAACAAACAAACCACCACCACCGCCACCACCCTGCAGTTTAACACAAAATTTAGTAAAATAAACAAACTTTATTTGGGACACACTGATTCTCTCAGGGATGCACCCAAATCACCACCTGTAGGTCCCGGGTACTTACTATATTAACAACCCATCAGTATCATTGAGTAGATTTTATTTATTCTTATGAATTAAAGGATTTTACCTTCTATATTGATTGCTTGTGAAAGAAGCAAAAACAAGGACAGACAAAAAAAGAAATCTAACCTGATTGAAGAAAGTGTTGTCTTTAGTAACTGGTCACCATCTGAGATTGAAGCTATATTGGCTTTCTCAGGTATTTCAGCATTATTTCCAACTATAAAAATAAAATAGTTTATTATTCTACAAAAAGATCATCATAACAATAGTGGCTTTAGAAACAGGGAAAAAATGGATAAAACTCTTAAGTTATACATATTCAGGGGCTGTACTCACTACAAGAAATAATATTAAACTATTTTATAGTATCAATTAGGGTACAAGGATCACCTTGGGTTGCACCAATTAATTGGTTGATATTCACTAATTTAATTATTAATGAATGGTAAAATAAATTAATGAAATTAAAATTCACTCTATGTCTATAATGACTGGTGCTCCTTAAGCCAGGGATGACATTTATTGTGATGTAATATCAAGTAATATTTTGTAGTGAACCTGACAACAATGTTGACCAAATGCAGGATGGTTACAAAGAATAGAATATCCTACCTAAATCGACAATTTCTTCATCTTCATCTGCACCTCCATCATCAAAATTAGCGTCTTCACAACCATAATCTTCCATGTCATCATTTGGGATGTCTTCTGCCTCAGCTTCCATATCAAAAGCATAATTGGAATTTACCTTATCCTTAGCTTGCATCGTCTACAATGAAACAGAAATGAGGATTTAATGTCCATGTAAAGTTGTATTGCATAAATGTCATTAAATACAGATCCTCAGTGAAAGCTGTTTTGGTAAAAGTCTTTAATTAGCACAAGAGTTGTTAAAAAGGTAAATAACTTGTCTTTGTTAAATTCCTTGGAAATAATTTTTTTAAGAATTCCATTTCATGAAAAACATCCGTTTGATGCATACATCATCACTGATGTTTTAACCGAAGTTCATTAGGGGTTTCAGTTCTTTCAACATCATACCCGCACTTGACGGTGAGGATACTGATCAGGTATTGACTTTTGTGCCATCCATCAGCTACAATTTTCCTCATCTTAACTAACACACTGCGACTCTTTTGACAATTTTTAGTCCAATCTTGGATAATTTCTTGTTCACCAGCTTTTACACACTTCCATAAAAAAAAGGAGGCAAATGCAGTAACCATTTTGCTCTAATAAGAAATAGCGACACATGGTTTAAAGTGGTAAGTAATGATCTTTTCATTTCTCTGAGATACATACTCACACACCAATTGATATTAGTAAGAAAAGGGATTCGATTGACAAAAATCACAAGGAATTAATAGATAGTCTGACATATATCTGGTTTACACGAGGGTAAAAAAAAAAAAAAAAAAAAAAAAAAAAAAAAAAGAAAAAAAAAAGAAAAAAAGGGTCCACATATGCTCAGTATACACTAGGGTAAAAAAAAAAGAAAAAAAAAGTTGATATATGCCTGGTTTACACTGGGTTAAAAAAGAAAATTCTTTAATATAAGTTCTCCGCACACAAATTGTCCCAAGGGACAATAGTCCCTTTGGATTAAAGCATTAATGGTGTGTGAATTTGGTGACAGTAATTGTGAGTTCAATTCCAAGGCTGGGCAATGTGTATTTGGACTTGGGAAACAGGACAAGCAATAACTGAGCAGTGCTAAAAATAAGGACTAGACGAGATATCTCTAGATATGGGCAATGGATTGAGAACAATCCATCGCTGATGAAAGCCAGAGGGCACAATGGCAAACAACAACAAAGATGAGGATAAAAGTCTGCCTGTAAATAATCCTGTAACACACTTTGATGTTTATATTTTGGAGTGGTATAAATGAGTTTGTATCAATCACTTCCACAGCTGTGAAGAGTAATATATTGCCTTTTACTGACTGCATTCTCCAGCTGCAAAATTTTATTCATGCCTATTTGCTAAAAGGCATGAGTATTTTTTACAAAATATACAAACATCCACCCAAATTAGATAAACTGAAAATAAAAAGAAAAAAAGAAAAAGAGTGCCATACCTCGTCAGCTTCATTCCAATTATTAAACTTGAAATTGGAAAAGGATGGACAGATTTCAGATTTGTAGAAATTTTCTTTTTCCAAGAAGTCTGAAAATAGAGATAAAATTCATCAAGTTGGCCATCATTTTCCAACATTCTCATTAAAGGAGTAAAGTCATTCCAATTAATATTTGTCAGACAATAAATATATACAAAAAAACTGTCATTTTTGTGTATGTGCCATCACCCCCCCCCACACACACACGCCAAATAAAGGAGTTTAGTATTTTAGAGCCAATCCAAATCATGGATTACCTAACCAAAAATCTTGCCTTCTTGCTTGTTCTTGATTGGTTAATTCAAAGACCAATAAAAAGACCTTGCTACATCCTGCATTATTTTTACTGTTACTCCCTCCCCACCCTGAGACTTGTGCTCGTCAACTGGTTCTGTCAAATTTATTGTATTTCAGAAATGAGATATATTTTTTATTAAAAAGAACCCACCTGTGAGATAAGCTTTTACCAATAGCACAAAAGAAGATAAGCAACTTGGATTACAATGTTTGCTATTGCTCTCTGCAAATAAGGTAAAAGAAAAAAAAAAAAAAAAAAAAAAAAAACTGACTTACCTTTAATATCTGACATGCCGACAGGGTCTTTGTTAGTTTTGCTGACAGGCTGGCTCTCTATGTCATCAATAATTGTGGTTGAGTCCAAAACTAATTCACTGCTGTCTGTGTAGCAACTCAAAGCACTGAGTAAAAGACCACTGGAAAGGCCTTCGGCAAAAGCAGTCGTCAAGGACTTGAACAAAGGGTCCATCTACAAGAAGTGCACAATAAACCAGAATTAGTTTTATTTTCATTTCTTGTGTAATTTCAACAAACATTTCATAAATGAAAAAGAGTTTAAAAGTGAAGGAAGATATTCAACTTCAATGCTGTGAAGAACCAATCTATAAAGACAGAAACATAAGCAAAAAGTGAAAAACTTACTTCATATTCAAGTTCAAAGGTATCCAAGTTGATGTTTTTTAGATTCTTTTCAATAAATTTGTTACGGTGAATCTATAGAGAAAGGAGATGAAGAAGTATTTTAAATTATTATTTATGTGAGCAAAAATATTAAAACAGAAGAAACTCAAATAAAGAAACTGAAATATAAAAATATTTAAAAGGATTTTTTAAAGTTTTGTATTCTAATATGGATTCCCAAAATCCACAGAAAAAAAAAAAAAAAAAAATTATTTTTCATGTACCATATTTTTTTTGTGTATAAAATAAATTTGAGTATAAAAAGACCCTGTGTTTCTGAAGTTTCTAAAAACGGAATAAATTGCATTCTGAGTATAATATGACATGGTAGTACAGCCATCCATATGTAAATTTCATTTGAAAAGTTGTACAATATTATTTTTTTTTAATATTATCCATTAAAATGTCAATGTCGTACATATATTTCACTAAAATATTTAATTTTTTCACAATATTAAAGAATAGAAATGAACCAGATATCTCGCCATTGCATGTTTCAAGTTTCCTGAAAATAGTCAAGACTGCCCAGTCACATTCTTTAATTCTGCATTTTTCAAGTAAAAATCCACCCTTGATTCGCATTTCAGCAATTTTCAAGACATGGTTCACATTCTGAATTTCACATTTTTTTTTCCTTTCATGCTATTTTTTAAAAGTAATCTTGAGTTGTTCCTCATCATTAAGCAAAGAATGGCATCTTCATGAGCTTAGAAATAAGTTACAGATATAACTGAATGAAAGAAAAAAAAAACAAAAAAAAAACAACTTACTTTCTTTGTTTTTTTGACTTTATTGGCTGGCATATCTTCATTGTCTTCATTGTCTACCCCTGAATCTTCGTCATCATTCACTTCTGTATTGTCCTCTGAGAGGAGAAACAGAAGCACATATTTCACACATATCAGGAAAGACTGATAGACACTATCAAAGAGAGTCTACTTAAAGGCAGAATATACAAATGGATATTTGATAAAAAGGACAATAAAAATATAATCAGAACTCTATCAGTAATCAATTGTAGGTCAAATGAGCTGATGTACCTGTCTACACCAGCTAAGAGTACAAAATCGGTTACAATAATCTTAAATTGATTCCTTTATAATGAAGGTGAGTTGATCTGTTTTAACTGATTAAGGCATACTGTAAAATTTGGTATTGTAAAAATTAGCATAAAAATCTGATATTAATTATAGGTTTCTACCAATAACACATTAATACCCACTCTCTCAAAAATAGGTTTGTAGCATTAATGAGTTAATGAAAAGAAAAGAAGCAAAATTCAATTTACATCTTATATGGGAAAGAAAACAAATTAAAAAGAAAAGGCCAAAAAATAGACACCTAACTAAAAAGTAACAAAAGTGCTCAATGTCTAAATTGTCAAGACAGAGCAATGATGATTCTCATTGTCATGACTCAGAAAGAGACAAAGTTTGGACTGCTACTCAAGTTTCACACTAAATTGATCATCAGGTAACCACAACACAAATACAGGAGGAACAGAACATTAATATTAACATAACACTGGGCAAGGGGATAAAAAAAATAAGCAAAGAAATTTAATGAGTGCTTTGCCTATTTTCTTTTTACTGTGTGTATGACTACTGTTCACAAAGTTTTTTTCTGTTTTTATTCATTTGCATTTTGGTCACATAATGATCATGGTAACATGAAACTAGAGTAGTGGTCCAAACTTTATTTCTTTCTGAGGACTTTTATATCTCTCAAAATAACACAAATTCTGTTCATTTTATGATCATAGTTCTTATGTGAGTATTAACCAGCATACAAAGAGCTTTCTAAATACAACTCCATCACATTGGAAGATATGAAAATGCTAACATATAGTGGCAAATACCAAAATCCACCATTTTGAATTTGGCCAAACTCAGTAAAACCCTTATAACTCAGGCCAGTCAAAAGTCCACCCCCAAATTTTGTACATATCTTGTCATAAAGCAGACAAATTTGTTGTCAAATTTTAGAAAAAAAATTAAAGAACCGTTTTTTTTTTTTTTTGAGAAATTAAAGGTCAAGTTATCTTATACAGTGTAACCTGGATATAACAGAGTTGTCGGGACCGGAGAAGAAGTCTCTTATATCCGGGTTTCTCTTATATCCGGGTTTGGTCTATTTTATATACATTAACACAGGCTCTAATTTGGGACCAGAGAAAATCTCTCTTATATCCGGGTTTCTCTTATATCAGGGTCTCTTATATCCGGGTTACACTGTATAATTCATCTCTGTGGATGAAAAAACAACTGAGATATTGATATTTAAATTTTGTGACTATTTTCCAAAATTCCACTTTTTGACAAAGGTCAAAGGGTAATATCTTAGGAACCATTAGACCTAGAGATGTAAAATAGGTACCATTCAATTTCTATCATGAAGCTTGATAAGTGTGCCAAATTTGAAAAAAAATCCATGTTGGTAATGTTCAAAAATGACTGAACTTAATAAATTTTTGATAGCAAGCAAACAGTTGGAGATTCTATCAATATAATTTCTATTTGAAATACATCAGAGTATTTTGCTTACTGGAAATAGTAAATTAAACCATTTAGTTTTCAAAAAAGCTTCAAGAATACTTTTTCATTTATAAAAATTCATTTTAAACCTTAGGTATTGAAAATTCCTTGGAAGTGCCTAACCTAATGATTATCTCAATGTAAAACTGACATGCGCTTGCATTTCCTTCATATTTGTTTGTTTATACACAAACACACACACACTTCAAATGTTATTTTTGTGGATACATGCTCTGTTTATTTTAAACAGTGTTTATTTTGTCTACCAGCTTGCTCACTTGAGAAAACTTATTAATGAAAATGTGTCCTCCAGCAGGATTTGAAACTTTACAGGAGAGACTACTGTCATATCTGGTGTGATTTTGACCATTTGACTATGGAGAGTTTTCACACTCAAGTAAGGTTCTATTTGTCTTTAAAACACATTCATTTGTTTAGATTTTCTCAAAAGATTGCTCAGTTTCATATCCAATATATAAACAAGGCAATATCTAAAGATGTAATGGATTTTATAATTTTTGTTTTAATGACATTAATTTTAGTGGTTCCCCATATTTGAGTAGACACTCCAGTTAGGGAGAAAAAAAAAAAAAAATGCGTGTGTGTGTGTGTGTGTGTGTGTGTGTGTGCGTGCATGCACCTCCACACAATATCAAAAAAGAAAATTGATTTCATTTATTTTAGGGAAGTTTCTAATGAAAAGTAGAAAATATTAGTGATGGGATGATTAATTGGAATCGGAATAGAGAATCAAAAATATCAAAACTTTCTGGGGTATTGGTATCAGCATTGAAGAATTTTTAACCTAATTTTTGATTTCAAAAAAGATTCTTTGGATTTTATTTTTTTGTTGAAAACTCCTTGTTTTATAAATATTTGATTTTAAACTATCATAATAACACCTAAATTAAGTATGATGTAAATTATTTTACTTGTGTAAAAAAAAAAAAAAAAAATGCCCCAAGTTTCTACTCAGTTCTTTCCATAAAGTTCACTGGTTTAAAGTCTGCTTCAGTTCAAAATAAAATTTTTATTTTTAATTCTTTTTTAAAACTTTGTTAATTCACCCATTCAATATTATAAATTATTAATTTAATAATTGTAATCAAAATTATGTAATATAAACACAAAATGAATTCACATTGATCTGCTGATCTCTCTTTTAAGACAATTTTTTTTTTTAATTTATAAAAAAGGAAAAAAAATTAATGTACAGAATTCCCACCAAAGTAACATTTAATTTCATCACATACAAACTTGACCTTGTGTCACAAACTGTCGTAATAGTGAGGCAGTTAAATTACAACAATTTGTTTTTATAATAATTTTTAATCCATAATATCCATTTTTAGTTTCGGTTATTGAAAAGATTTGTTTTTGTTTATGTAGCATATGATGTAAACAAAATTAAATCTTCTTTTCAATAACTGAAACTTAAAAAAGAAACATTCATTTTGTAAAACTTGTATAAATTTTCTTTCTACAAAATTCATTTATTTCTTAATATTTTAGAGCTTTCAAAACGGATATTCATCTTTATTTACTTAAAAAAAATAAACTTTTATTTGAAGTTTCCTGAAAAAAGCTTTTTCACACAAAAGTTTGTATTAAAATACCTAAAATTTAATTTCCATCAAAAATTGTATTTAATTTTATTTTACTAATATTTTCCTTTGGCATAATTGAACTTTCTTGTGTTAAATTATTACGGCATTTAAACTTTTAATATTTTGAACTTTTTTCTCATCTATTCCTCCTCAGAGCCAAACGAGATGCAAGTTTTATAAGTAGAAGTGTATAAAAAATTTAGAAATGAATATTTTTATCTGGTGTGATTAAGCTATAGTTTTTTTTCCACTTTTAACATGATTTGTTTTCATATTTTTAAAATAAAACTAGTAAAATTTCATCTTGTAATAATCTAATAACTGGCAAATGCATTTACATTTATTCCCATCCTTATGAAGATTTTAATCATTTTTAATCTTATTTTTATTTTAATTCTTTGTAACATTTGAATCTCATACCTTATAAAATGATCAAGTTGGATATCAGTGTTATTTAGCTTTTAACATCTTATTTTTTTTAAAAATTATTGTAAAGTTTGCTAAAATTGATTATATCTCTTTAAAAAAAAATAAAATAAAATAAAAGGATATGTTTTTACTACATTGTTTCACTTTACTCTTTTTTTTTCTTTTAACAAAAATGAAACAATGTTTGATTCTTTTTAGAAATTATTAAATTTTTTAGTTGTGAGAAATTTATTTTAAACAGTAAAACTTATTAGCGATTAAATTTTTTACGTAAGATTGAAGATCCTTTATTATTTATTTATTAAGTTGCTGTGATAATTCATATTTAATTCTTATTAAACATCTGTAAGCAAATATAAAATTTGGATTTATTTTTTATTCACTGTCATGCAGGATTAGGTACTCCATGCACTTTATCAAAATATATGCATGTTAAACCACAAAACATAGAATGATGCCTTTTCGCTTAGAGTATTACTGTTCCAATATTTTATATATATATATATATATATATATATATATATATATATATATATATATAGTAAGGTAATGAAGGGTTTAGTAATCTTCTGTGTGGATAATTCCAAAGAGGATGTGATCTAGAGAGCTCAATGTAAAACCAGAGCAAATATTAATTAAATAATTAAGAAATAGACAACCTTAAGTTTACATGACTAAAATATATTTTTCCTGGTTCATCAGGTCCCATCTCTAGTGACTGGGAAAATAAATTAAAAGTCATGGAAACTTAAAAATTGTCTATTTTAATTATTTAATATATATATATATATATATATATATATATATATATATATATATATATAAGGGTGTCTCTTATTTTTGAAGTACATGCTAAAATTGAATTGTCACCCCTAAATTTGTTTCATTCATTGAAAAATGCAAAATATTTAGAGGACACCTTTGCTTGTTAAAACTTAAAAAGGTGGACAAAAAAAAAAAAAAAAAACTTTCTTATTTTACAATTAACAGCAAACCATTATTAGTTGAATCTTTACAAATTATATGCATTAGAAAACTAGAGACATTTTTTATCCAACAGTGAAAAATTTAAATTTTACCCAATGTTTATTATTTTCAGACTCCAATTATGGCAAGTGTATCCAATGCCGAGCTGAAAAGTGTAGTTTGGAAGTTTTTTTTAAAGATTTTTGATGTTAACCAAAGTAAAGCAATATATCAGCTGTAGCTATGTATTTAAGTGATTTACGTAAAGAAATTGTTCTTTATTGTTTAAACACTTACTCAATTTTTTTAAATAAAAAGGATGCCTAACTTTATTTCATAAGATTTTGTATTCATTCTTCTACTAAATGTTTTATTAATAAATGTACTTTGTTCATTAAGTTTCCCAAACCAATTGTAGGGCTTGAAAATAATGAATTTTTATCATTGTAGGTATTGGAATTGGAATCAGAAATTTAGAATAGTATTGTGGATTGTATTGGAATCAATAAAAATATTGGTATCATCCCATCACTAGAAAATATATTCAAAATTGTTCAGAGGGATTTGTCTTTTAAAGCACAAAAATATGTCTTGTCATCGAGATAATAAATGTGAATGTCAGTGTGTCCCACTTTTTCAATTTTACTCCAAGAGGCTGTAGCCCAATATATCATACCATTTTGGAATCAGGCCAACTTTGTGAGCAAATTAAAAACTTTCTGGGCTGGATCCAGACCCACAATCCTGAAATTTTGTATTCCCAAGTTTTCATTACTGCGATCGTTTTTTGATAATTTTTTGGACAAATTTTTTTGTACAATAACAATTTTTATAACTTGGAAATGAATTTGGAAATAATTGAAATTAATTGCGAAATCCAACGAAAGTCACCCATGAAATAAAAATAATTGTTTGTATGGAAAGTAAGGACCTACATACATCAAATTGTCTTTAAATTAAGTGGTGGTGGAAGAATTATCATTGAACTTTTAAAAGGTACACTTAAATATTAATGCAATACTTAAATGCAGTGATCACTTTTGAGTTCTTCTGTAGTTTATTGTTGCCTATTGCATCTACTCCTCTCTACCTATTGTGATGAAGGCCCAATCAAAAGTCTTCTGTAGGAACTAACTTAAATGCCGCTGGATTGAGTGACTTTTAAGCTAGTTAACAATAAAATAGAAATTATAATCTTACAATAAAACAGGAAAATAAAGATGTATTTTTTTTTTATTGTTAAAACCTTCCCAAAAGGTACACATACCAAATTTGAGGTATCTACAAATTTTGGTTGTGTATAGCAGACAAAAATTATATTATCGTAATTCAGGATCTGTTCATTTCCTAAGAGCTATTCTGACACTCTATGGCACCTGCTCTAATTGGCTGACAGAAACCAAAGCATACAGAACAATTGAGCCAACTGTGAGAGTAAAATAGTCTATCCTTTATTGTTATAGGAGAGATTACATAAGAAGATAAAAAAAAAATAAACAGGAAGAAACGTTGAGATAGAAAAACTGATTTCAGGCTATTGTATACAGAATAGTTGTTTAGGTGAAGATATCGTAAATCTGGTCAGATTCAGAAAGTTTTGTGTATTAGAAGAATAGGAAAAATATATAAAAGAATAGGAAAAATTAAATTTAGTTATTTTAAGTTGGATTAAAAAGGGGAGTAAAAAAAGAAAAAAAAAAAGAAAGTGTTTTCACATTCATTCTCTTTAACCCTTTCAAATACTGAATTATTCACAATACTGCATTTGTTTATTGCTACATGACCAGCATAAAGTAATACATTTTAAGCGGGATTGATTGCTTTCATTTTTATTTATTTTTTCAACTGATGTTCATTCAATACAAAGCGCAAGAGCCACTCAAGGTAGAGTATTAATGAATGAGGTGTGTGATATGAATCTAAAAGAAGGAAGTAGAAAGTCAAGATTATAAGGATATGGAGGATAGATAACAATTGACCATAGGCTTGAAAAGGTTAAGATTGTAGTGTTTGGGGAAGCATCTATGCAGGTGTCTGTTACACAAAGTTTGCGTTCCTGGGCAGAAGCTTTTTTGAGTGGAGCATCCTTCTTACCCATGGCATATATAGGGAATGGGAGTGATTCAACCCTGTGGGTGTAACAAGGTGAGTGTTGGTTGTAAAGGTCTGAGCTGGTGGCACCAAAGTGGAGATTGCCACAGCATTTGCCATGGAAGTAACAATGGAGTAACAACATTGCGTCTGTGGAGAAAGGGTCTGCAGGGTGGGAAATAAGTGACCCCCCACCTCCTGCAAGAATGTGTAAGCAGTTTTTAACTGTCAAGGCCAGAAAATGATCTTAGTATGGCACAAGGTCAAATAGAGGGGAAACAGGGATGGAGAGAGTAGAAAGATTGCATTATAAAACTCTTCCAAGTAGTAAGAACTTGAAAATCAGCATTTAAAATCCCGGGGTTTACCTGGGCAATGTGAAATAGATATTTGGCTATGTAATTATGATCATTAGGGTTTCACATTTGAGTCTTTAAATAATTTTTTCAGTTTTATTGTACTTTCATGGTTTCTTCATCTCCCAAACTTATAAATATGTTTGAACAGTCTGCCATTTTCATAACAAAGACACTGGTGCAAGAAAGATAACTAGATCAAAAGTTACACAAGAACTATACAAACACACACACACACACATATATATATATATATATATATATGCAAATGGTGTAATGGATAATAATTTGAAATGAGAAACCAGTGTGCAAAGTTAGAATTCCAGTCAAGTTCATTACATTCACTTATGGGTAAATACCCTCAGAAAAGGTAGGAAACCATCTCTCCTCCTCCTCCTAGTTATGAGCTATAGTCAGTACCCGCTTGCCTCCAATCATTCTCTCTGGTGGCAGTGGCGAAGATGGCTGTGAATGTCAAAGAGAGTTTGACAAGGCCATTCGCATGAATTTGATTTTGGTGAACAACTTTGCGTGATGGAGAAGTCCATACAATTGGCCAGAAGCATCTCCCTCCTCGTGGCTCATATGTTACGAGTTAAATAGTAGAGAATACAATATGACCTACTTTGTGACATATTTCTATTATATAGTGCATGGGGGGTATTATTTACAGAGTATCTGAACAAAACCAAAATAGAGGCACCCATCAGAAATTGCTGTCAATCATTATATTCTTTTTTTCTTTTCAATAAAAGGTAATGTCCTATTTTTCACCAAAATGGGCCAGCACAGCCAGGCAACAATGTTATGACAATGCAGCAGGGAAAGAATTAATTAGTTAAGATACTTTATTTTTCAAGTGTGGAGGAGAATAATAGGTTATTTTCCAAAACTTTTAATAGCTTTACCCCTCAGTCTAATCTTAAATTGGCTTCTTAGAAAAGTATCAATGAAGTGAACACCTAAATTGAAGAAATTTAGGATAAAATTCCAACACCAGTAAAATGAACTTGGGTAGTATAAGCACAAAAGAAACTTAATTTGTGATAGAAACATTGTGAAAAGAAAAAAGAAAAAGTTACCTTTGTTTTTCTTCTTGTTGCCTCGACTGAGAGTGCCAAGTACTTTGTAAGTCTCTGAGTGAATTGCATCAACTCTGCTGGCATAGATCTTGGCACTAGCATCAAGGGTGGTTCCAGCAACCTAAGCATAAGAAAAAGGAGGACATTAGGTGCTTACTTAAGTACTGGTCACCTTCTGAGTGAATACTTGCAGATACAGGTATGTGACACTATTTAGCTTTTTGGCTAACTAATTAAGCATGGAAATTAAAAGCGAGAAATACTTAAGGTGAGAAAAAGCTGTGGCGAAAGACATACTGAGTGATCATATTTTTTTTTTAAAAGAAAAATGGGTAAAGATTTTATTTTCATTTGCGAAGAAAAGTATTTTTTTCGCAGAAGATAGAAAATTCGTAAGATCTCGGATCTGTCAGAATTAATTTATGCCATGATGCGGCGAGGAAAGGCAGATAGCAATCTGCTCATGGCAATAATGAAAATTTCAAATTGGTCAAGAGGCTTACAAAGCAGAATGCTAGAAGATAATCGGAAATTGGGTCAAGCATACAACCGAGAAAGAATTAGCTGAGACCACCCCAAAGAAAAAGGAAGGAAGAAGTGAAAAAGGAAAAAAATAAGCCATTAACTATCTTTCGGAGATATCATTTGGTTTTGGAAGGAGAGACACCTGTTGTTATCCAGAACTGCCATGATAAAAGTTGTTACCTGGACAGACTGTTGGCGACAGAATGCGATGATGTTGAGGAAGACAAAGAGATTCAGTTGACCACCCAGATAATAACTTGGCGAAAATCCTGTTGATGAATCCCAGATGACATCAAGTTAAGATAGAGATTTAATGTCCACAGTACGATTTGTGGGGGTTCTAGTCGGTGGAAAAGAAAGAAAAGAAAAAGGAAGATAATTTTTTTTCTTTGAGCAATAATTGTAAACTGAGGCCAGTCTATCCACACCCACACTGCTGTGCGTTCATTGGCTGAATGGTGGCATGAGCAATGGGCAAAGGTACACATATGAGAAAGAAGGGAAACCTGTTGACGCCCTCTGAAGGGAATGGTGTGAGATACCAATATGAGAAAGAAAGAATTTGGGAGGACAATTCCCTTAAGAACCCCTCTAAAACAGAAAGTAATTGACTTCCAAAAATGGCAAGTGATAAATTTTCCTGTCCGAAAACAAAGAAAATCCTTATTGCGGATTTGGAATTATCGAGGAACCCAAACCACACCAGGCCCCCACCTGGTTTTGGTCATCGTCCATACAAACGAACGTCCCCAGAGCAAAGACAGTTGGGGCAGACACGGTTGGACAGTTGGACAGACACAGTTGGGGCAGTCACAACACAGTTGCTGACAGTTGGAGTCACAGAGTTGAGCTGTGAGCTCGGAGACCAGCCTTGCAGGAGCTGACTGAAAGATTTCCATGCATTCCGACTTAGACTTCTAACCAAAAACAATTTTTTTTTGAAGAACGACTTAGACCCACACCACCAAAACAAGTTTTACGAATATTGCCTGAAGATACCAAAAAACAGTTTATTGAAAAACAACTTAAGATATTAAGACTCGTCTAAGAAACGCAAAGTGTCACGTATCCATAGAAGCGGTTTGGGGAGAAAGACGCAGTCCTGTATTCAGCAACCAGATATAAAGATACTTGTTATTCTTTTTTTAACACATTTGAATCTTTCGAGTTACTTTATTTTCTTTTACATATAATTATGCGGTATCACCTTTTCCCCCCCGAATTCGGCTTGCACTACAGCCTGATGCCTGATTGATTTCGTCTACCTAAGATCAAATCACAACGTGGGTAGGTTAGACTAGAAATCAAAGCAGTTACTTTGGTAACCAGACATTGGAGACGAGCTGGGAATGACAAAGCTGATGCTTAATCTAACCAGATTTCCATCTGAATCAGCCAAGGGTTAGATCGTCACAGGATAGCACGGGAGAGACCAGGGTGACATCACAGGTATAAACATGACAAATGTCTATCTTTTTTACTCTAGTGTAAACTGAACCTATAATGTATATACATGTGTATAAGTGTACATCACATAAAGTGTGACCCCTAAATTCTTTTGTCAAAAACCTGATTTTTTTCATATAGTTTGTGTATGTGACCTCAGCCTCTGAGCAATACTAGTAGGCCTACTGTAGTCAAATATTGCAATACTGGGTATCATCCTGGGTATATTTTATATCAAATAAATGATATTCATTCATTTTTGTACAAAGCTACCTTAAAATGTAGTGAGAAAAACCACTTACCTTAAAATATTTGATATGAAGATTTAGATTTAGACTTTTGTTTTCATTCATGCCTGACTATAGTAGCTCCTTTAATCTGGGCCTGCCTCCTAAGTTTCTTCCCTTGAGTCTCTACATGAAGAGCAAAACCTCATCCACTATGTATGCCACTTAAACTCAACAAATACCTTATATAAAAGAAAAACGAATAGTTTTTTTTTCCTATCTTAAATTTGCATTCATCTTTGTTTTGCAAGTGTTTACACTACTGAAGTATTGCTTTTCCAATAAAAAACTTTTTGTCAGGATTACCGGTACATGATGCAGGGTGTCCCACAAAATGAGGTACATACTTTGGGTTATTATAATTCAAGTCATTCTAAGTAAAAGGTACTTTAAAGACACATGCTTTTTTGCTTTATTTTGCTAGAAACTGAGGCTGTTTAAATGTGTGCTGTGGCATGTTGATGGAGCAACTATCTGCTGACATGTGTTGCTTAACTTATAGTCATGGACATTATTATTTACATTTAAAATTTACCTGTTTATTGTGCAGCTGGTGATTGAAAATGCATGATTTTTAAACTCCTCAAAAATAAAAAAAAATTTTTTACCTGTGCATAGTGTAAAAAAAACTGATCATAAAAACTCGCATTATACTTGAATATACATATGGTATATACATTTATCTATTAACTCATTGTGACTTTGTCTGATAAAACTCATATACAACATTAAAAATGCAAGGATTTTATTGTGTAACAAGTATTTTTATACAAAAGCAAAATTGTTATTGATTTCATCCCCCCCACCCATACACACAAAAAATATTTTTTAATTCAGCATTACATAGAATTTTTACACTTTGCCATTTTATTGCCTAGCGTTGACCGTATATACAGAAATAAATATATATATATATATATATATATATATATATATATATATATATATATATATATATATATATATATATGCAGGATTCATTAAATGTGATGAACAAAGAATATTTTGTAAGTTTTTTTTATTCAAGTTTTCTTGTGTCCTTACAATTTTTTTTTTATTTAAGATTGTGTGCATGGAAATTTTTTTCAGTTTTCATTGTCCTAGCCCCTATTCTGGAAAAAGAGGGGGACTTTCATGGTAACGAGGACTGTTAGTGTATTTTTGTTTGCTATACTGTGTTGTGTGAGAAACAGTTTTTGTAGTAGTGATTTCAAACTTAGTAGAGTTTTTATTTACTTTCTGAACATGTCTGATAACATGAATTGATAGTGTGGGAAGGCCTGCTATTTTTTCAGAAGTTTGAATGGGACCAAAACAGTTGGGGCTGCGTAAAGAAACAAAGTAAAAACTTCACTAACACTGAAATTGTTAATTAAAAAAATAGCCTCACACATAACACAGCATAGCAAACAAAACAAGATGAAAATATATGTGGCGGAAACGAAATGCAGATGAAGCTGCTTACCATTACTGATAGTGGTACCTGCCTCCTTTGGTCAAAGAGACAATGTTGAGTTTGCTCTCTACAGAAAGCAAGTAAATGCTTGCCCTGCCAGAACAGGGCCATTTGTGAACCCCAGGACATCTGTTTATGAAGAAAGTACCGACCAGCTTCCTTATGAGTTGGCTATTCAAATGATCCCTTTTGTTAGCCAACTGCTAAGCTTTTAGGCTCCATAAAAGCAGGCACATTTTCTGGAAAGTAGAAGTCTGCTGTGTTGACCATATAATGGGGGGGGGGTCACTGTGTGTTAGCAAGGATTTCTGTTTGTGTTACCCAGCATTGTTTCAAATTCATTCATCCTTGTTTGTGTTTCAGCTGTGTTTGTCTGTGCCTTGATCATAGTGATCCAGTGTTTGATTCAAGTGCTGCTGAGTTTTCCATCCGTCTTCATTGGCAGATACCCAACCAACAGGGAGAAAATCATTTCAATTAACCCCCTTCCTTAAAAATGGTTAAATGCTTGAGAAATGAAACACTATGGACAATTCCTCCACTCACTTAGTCTTCAAAAAAGAAATTTTAAGAAAAACTGAATTGCAAAAAAAACAAAAAAAAAAAAAAAAATCTTTGCGCAGTATATTTATTGAAACATGCATTTAAACAGGAATGTTGCCCAAATGTATTATATAGATGTGTATATATGTGTGCGTGCGTGAGAGGGAAAAAAACAGAAATGAAAAAAATTAAATAATGACTACAGTTTTTATGCAATTAAAGAGTAAAATGTGGTGACATGATATGAGGGGAGTGCTGAAAAGTTCACAGTTCAACCCACTTCCCAAAATCTGAGGGCACTTTAACATGGGGTAAGGATTACAGAGACTGCTTGATCCTTGGTGCTCCATATAAAAATTTAACATTAAATAATCCAACACAAGTTAAGACATCTCAGAGTGGGGCAATGGTTAGCAGAGTTAGTCTTATTGACTATTACTAGTGAGTTGTGAGTTCAATCCTCATTGGGTACCTCATACAAAATTCAACATTAAATGATCCAACAAAGGTTGACATGTAAAATCAACCGGCCTAACTTAACTAAACACTGATCAAATTCATCACATGCCAGAATTCCTTTTGGAAGTTTTCTTGGTTTGGCCAAGAACTTTTCACCCCTTACTTTTATATATGCCAAAGAAGTTTTAATAAAGTAAATACCTTGAAAATAATGAAAAATCATTAAATACCTGGAAATCACCCAATTTCTTGCCCTTCAGCAAGTCTGTCATGTAATCAATCAAGTGCAGACCAAAAGCATTCTTGGTGTTTATTTTCTGAAAGAAACGAAAAAGAACATATCAGCATTAAATCACATTCCAAATTGCTTTATATTGTGCGTGTGTTTTGAAGAAACAGGAAAATTTCTTGAGAAACAAAAAAGAAAAAAAAAGAGAGTAATAAACTATGTAATATCAATCATCCCACACAGCAGCAAATGCTAGACAATTCCCTTATAGATGAAGAGACAACGGAGATGTGGTTCTACAGAAAAGATGCAGAGAATACCATGCACAGAGCATGTAAGCAATAAGGAAGAGGAAGTTTTAAGGAAAATGCAAACATAAAGGACATTTAGCATCAGAAAGAGACAGCTGAAATTTCTAGAACACATAATGAGGAAAGAAAACTAGGAAAATTTGACACTCACAGAACATATTAAAGACAAATGGGATAAAGGGGAAACAGCAAGTAACCTAACTGTAGTTGAAGAAGAGAAAGAATCCTTTTCTTACTTATACAGAGAAAGGAAATGGAAAAGAGTTAACTGAACAAGGTTTAATTAAATACCTTTCACTAATGGAAGGAGGCATTATGGATTGTTGTGAGTAAGCAGGCAGTATAATAAAAAGTCGGAAATAAAGAGGGCAGTACCTTTATGTCCTGTTGTATTTTAGACAGCTTATGAAACAGCTCAGAGGCAAGTGGTGGAGAAAGTTACGACTAAATGGATGATTTGGCAGGTTTCGTAAAAGAACTGAATGAAGGTATGTCACTTCCCAATTCAAGACGAGGGTGAAGGCACTGAGGGTGTGTGATTCTTTCATTCTTGAACTGAGACTACACTAATTAACGAACTTATGTAATGGATGACAGAACATTGAGTGAGAGGGATAGTATTTTGATTGATTTGCTTTTTTCAGCTTATTAACCTATTTGAAGTGTAGCTTAAATGAGTTTCTATTACTCGGATGTTGCTTGAACAAGTCAAGATACCGCTGGTTCAATCCACCGTTCTTGCTTTCTGCACACTTCAAAACATAAACCTGTCTTTTTCTCCCATTCTCACTGCTTTAGCCCTCTTTTATCAGGCCAACACCGCGGTCGACCAACTAATCAGCATTCTTCGGTTTTATTCTCAGTTACTCAGGCAAATAGCCTCCTCCAGTTCGACCAATCAGCACACGACTTGCTATTGGTCGAAGCATGCCAAACTGTACAATAACATACTGCTGGAATGACTAGACGGGAGAGTAATGCCATTTTCAAGGAGCAAACTTGCCGATGACATGTGCCACATGTTGAGGTAAGGGAAAAAGGTTAATCAGTAAAAACAGCCTCAGCCTTTTTTTTCTTTAAATAATTTCACCCCAGGTAATAAAGCCACTAAGCTGCAAGGGATTACTGAGTGTGAAAGAATACAAAAAAAAAAGAGAGAGAACAATAAAAGTGCAGGAGTTAAAAAGATAAAAGATAACATTGCATTTAAATTTTTGAGGATTGAATTTGACTGAAAACCAAGAAGCCAGAAGAAAGTTCCACAAGCGCAAAGTACAAAAGAAAAAACTTATGATTACATCTAGACATTTCAACTGTAAAATGATGAAACATTGCAGCCAATCTCGTACTGCACTCAAATTCATAAAATCTAGGTACCAAAGAGGAAAGCTCATCTGAAACAATTACCACAAAAATATTTATAGAAAGCACAGGCAGAGGAAAGATATGTTATGGCAGTGGGAAAGTGACTGAAGCTGTCAAGTAAATGCTTATAGACTCAAATATAAATGATCAAGTATGTATTCCGAACCAAGTAAATGCTTGCAGATTCAAATTTTTTTTTAAACATTTCTTTTAAACAATTTTTAAATGTATGCAGGTTGTGCAAGAATTAATACAAGAGTTGTCTAAATTTTTCATGCTTTGGTTTAATAAACAGAAAAGAGACATTTCTATGTAACTGAATTAATAGAATTCTTGAATATAGTATAAAATAATGTGTTTAGCAACTGTTTAATTTTGTGATTTTTTTTCCCCTTTCCTATTTTTTTGTAGTGCTTAAGCCATACAGACATCAGCAGTGGAGTCAAATACAGTTAATTATAAACGAGTTACTGATTAAAAAATAAAAATAAAATAAAATTGTGTATAAATGACTGATATTTCTCTATCCCTGAACCAAGTAAATGCTTATAGACTCAAATATAATAATTAATTAAAAAACAAAATAAACTTATTTTTGACATTAAATAACCAAACAGGGGTTGGAAGGTCATAAAATCAATCAACACAACTCTCTCCAATCGCTAATATTTGATTTTATACAATAGCCATGAAGACATTTCAGTTTCTTGAATAAATACTATAAAAGGAAGAGTAAGAAGCTGTTTAAAAGAATAAATAAAACCACAAGAAATTTTTAATACTTACATTTTCTGCATTGAGCTTCACACAGTTGGCATAATGGTCAGATAGTTGAGTAGTACTCAGACCTCTTAAAGGGTTACTTGATAAATTTCTATAAAAAAATGACAAAAGATGGAATTCATTTTACTAGCTTTTTGTTGCTCTTTCTTATAAGAGACAGAGCAGGAGAAAGATTGTCAAGCACACTAAAAAGATTAAAAGGATGCAGTACCTTGAAGTGTGAAGATGAAGAAATGTCCCAATCCATCACTTAGCCAAATAAGTCAATATAAAATATTTCAACATGATGTGACCATACACCTTTCACATTTGGAGATAAATAAGATAAATATCTAAATTTAAGTCCTTCAACCTTTAGGTTTAATTTATCATTTTAGAAAGTAACACTTCAGATTTCTTTATTTTGTGTGTGCATGTGTGTTTTAATTATTAAACTTTTAATGCCTATTGTTCCATTAGTAGAACATATTTTAAGATGCTTTTTAGATATCAGACAAGCATTAATTGTATTTTAGAACAATGTGTATACACATAACATTTTTGTTATTTCCATGTATATTATTAATAAAATAATCAAAAGTAATACTTGTTTGGTATTAAAAAATGTGTTTTAAAATATGTTCCACTAGTGGAATAATGGGTTCCGAAAGGTTAAATGCTTGCCACTATTAGTAAGAAGTAAGAATTTTTATTCATTATTTTAAGAAATTATTTGCTTTTAGAATAAATATGACCAAATTATAACTTAAAATTTTGTCTCATCCCAAATTAATGTTCTTGGGATGACATTAAAATCAATATTAATGTTGACCATTTCCAATCTAAAAAACATAATAAATCATAGTGAAGTGTTACCTTGGACTTCCTTTGCTTGGAGTCAGTGGGCTGGAAAGATGTTTATTCTGCAATTCAAATAATTTAGATTTCCTTCTTTCACGGATTTCCTCAGCATCATTTTTCTTAGCAAGGGATTTCGGGGTTCCAATACTGAGACGGCGGCCACTGCCACTACCACACGGTGATGGAAATGCCATAGGGGTTGACTTTCCAGAATTTGGTGTGCCAAATATCTCTGTCATGTTTGTAGGTAAACTAGAAAGACAGGAAAAATAAGATTAGAGAATAACATACAAAAAAAATGATGAAGCAACATTTACATGATGAGAGTTAACAACTGACATTTTTAACAAGTTTGAAATGTTTTTATTTTCTTTGGTTTATTTATGAATATTCACATTAATTAGATATATACATGTATATGTGGGTAACTATTGAATAACCTGTATGCAATATATATATATATATATATATATATATATATATACACATAAATACTAGGGGTGCTGAAAAGTTGTCAGCCCAACTCACTTCCCAAAATCTAACCATCTGAATAAAAATCAGATTTTGGTAGTAATCTCTTTTGTCAGCCTGAGAACTTTTTAGTACTCTTGCTCTCTCTCTCAAAAAGCACACACACAAATATATACATATTTTTAAATTGATTTTTTTAACAGATATTACTTATTATTACTATAAATATTTATAAAAAATTCACTAAATGGTCAGTGTCAAAATATTTGAGGTGACTAGCTTGCCTCCAACTTCACACCAGTGAATAATAACAGATTTCAAAATGAAATATTTCCACAAAACTTTTGCTCAGGGACGTGTTTTGGTATTAGGGTTATGACCTGGAAATAAAATAAGCCTGAAACCAATGAAAAATCTCAAATGCTCCATGACCCAAGAAAGTGTATCAAGTGTGATTCACTCTCAAAACCATGCTGATTTGTTTCTTTGATGGGAGGGGAATTAGACACAAGTAATTCATAATAGAGATACAGAGGGAATTTGCAGTTTTATTTTGAAGTTCTGAGAAAATTGGGTGAGAGCGAGCAGAGAAAACCATCCTAAATGCAGAGCAGTGATGACTGGATACTTTGCCATGACAATAACCCTACCCATGTGGCCTTGAGCACCCAATAATCTTTTACCAGTAACCAACATGGTGGTTGTCTCCCTATCCACTCTATTCATCCAATTTGGTCCATGTTACCTTTCTGTAAGAAATATATTGATAATGTGAAATAAACAATGCTGAATGCCTTGAACAAAAAAATCTTAGAGTGATATATGATTATTCTCATTAAACAAGACAGGAATGGAAGAATGACCTTTTAATTGGACATGAGAGCTCTAAAAACTTGTAAGATGACATATTTATCTATCTCTGATCAGTCTCAAACAAAACATTTGACGCTGGGAGCTGTGATTTATGACTTTTCATAAACAAGCTATCAGGTGGTTGGAGTTCAAGCACCATAAAAGAGGAAAGTTTGGCCTGCTAATCAGTTGACCCTGGTGAACACTACAAGGAGGAAACCTATTTGATATTCATTTTCTCCATTTCAAAAATCTAGCAACAGCCATCACACATCACTGTTGAAGTGCATAAATAAACCAGTATTATCCCTTCAAAAGTTCTTTGTAATTTTTTTTTCAACAATGGAGTCACATTTTGATCATGCCACATTTTCTTCATCAATCCACAATGATCACACTTCTCAGGCATCTAAAACCTAACTAGGTTCTAATCCAAAACACAATGTTACAATCTACACTGAAAAATTCCAGAAATGTTTCCAATAATGGAAAAACACAAGTGGAAAGTGAGGAAATACTTTGCAGGAGACTTAAGTGTCATGCAATAAACATTTCTTTTAAATAATTCTGCTTATTTTTGGATAAAAGATAAGTGCGTTCTCTCTCTTCATAATGTAAGCCCCAAAGAAAAATTTTCCAGTTCAATTTACTTTTGCTATTGTTGTATCTTGTATTTTTCTTTCTTATTTTTTTTTTTATCTTTGTATATCTGTCTGTTTGGAATATCTTGATTTCATTTCATAAAATGTAGTCTGTCTGATGAGATGAATATGCTTATATTTATTGAAATAAATTTATTACTGTCTATGGATTTTAAGGTTTTCCTTAATTATTCTTATAATTTCCTCTGTATCATACCTATTGAACTTTCATATTGACTAAAAGTCCTCTTTAGAATAATCCCTACCAATTACAATTTGGTATTATTTATATATATATATATATATATATATATATATATATATATATATATTAATAAATATACCTATTATCCTTCATCGATAGCACAACTCAGAGTTTCATGCACAATGCAATCTTCAGGTGCTGAGTATAGACTGGGCATTACATAATTTAAATTTTAATAATTCATATTTTGTATCCTGTTACTGGATTATGGAACCAATTAACTTGGATTACTCCATTAAAAACATTATTGTTCCTGACAAAATTTGTATGCTGAGCTTTATGGATTTAAGTTCCAAAAAACACTACCATGTGGCGATCAATTATTGGACTTTGAGAAAGATCTATTCTCAGTAATAGACAAAATTAAATTTGCTAAAACTACCAATGACCTACAATGAAAAATGCTAAAAAAACGTCTCTATGATCATAAAAATCCAACAAAATTATTATCAAATCAGATAAGATGGGCAACCATTACAAAAAAAAAAATCGATGTAGGTATGTACCATAAAGCTATATACAACCATAGAATATGTCAGTAAAGAATGAAACCATCATCACAAAATTCTAGATAATTTACATAAATCAGATAATTTACCAACTCCATCAATAAGGAAATATTTGATAATAAAATTAAATATATAAAGGCTTTAGAACTAAGCATTCATAAAGTAAATTTAGAGTATTTAGAAAAAAAACGAAGAAGGTAAAAATAAACAGAAACACCTTAAGCATAAAATGATATGGTTCATTCCTCCTTTTAATTGTAATGTTAAAACTAATATCAGAAGAATTTTCCTAAATTTAATCTATAAGCATTTTAACCATTCACCAACACTAAAAAAGATTTTTTAACAAAAATAATTTTAAAATCAGCTATAGCTGCATTAATAACATAGATAAAACCATATCCCAGCATAACAACATTATATTAAACAAATATATTTCTAAAAAAGACAGCGTAAATATTTCTAAAACCAAATGCAACTGCCAAAAAAAATATGATCTGTCCTTTAAAAAATGTGAAATTCTCAATATACATAAAGGAACAAGTAACTTGGTTCTAATGAAAGAATATGATATTGGAAGAAGCATGTTTTTCTATATTAAAAAAAAAAAAAAAAAAAGAGAGAGATAATTTTACAAGCTGCTTCATCCTGTGAAAATAAAAGGAGAAATGCTTTATGAAAAACTTTTCATGGACCAAAAGAACATTAATTTAAACAAACTATGTGAGTGGTTTTCCTCAAAATGATTAGAAAGTTTGGCAATATCAGGTCTGATGCTAATAACCATAACAAAGGCTCTTTATGCCGAAAAGAACATGAAAACAAATATGAAATTAGTGAAGGTTGGCTCAGAAGTTTCAAGACTCAACATAGAATATGGCAATTAAAAACTTCAGGTGAACAGTGCTCAGCAGACATCTTCCACATATAGTGAAAACTACTTCAAAATTATGAAGGACTATGATTTAACCCCAGATGAAATCTACAATGCTGATGAAAGTGGTGTTTATTAGAAATGTTTGCCCACAAAAACTTTAGCTGGTGTGGATGAACAAAAAACAACAGGTTTAAACTAAATAAAGATTTACAGTGCTGGTGTGTGCTAAACAAACAAACAAACTTTTAGTTATTGGAAAATCTAAGTCTCCCTATTCTTTGAATCAAATTGTGCAATTACCAGTGACATACAAATCCTTGAAAAATGCATAGATGAATCAATATCTGTTTACTGATTGTTTTTTTCAGGAATTTATCCCATCTTTAAAAAAATCGCTTTCTTGAATTAGGCAAACTAAATTCAAGATGCTTACTTCTTTTAGACAATTGCAGAGCCCATCCACATAAAGCTAATTTAGTGTCATCTTGTGAAAATGTTTTTGCGTGCTATTTACCACCAAACATTACTGTAGTGAAAGAGATAATCAGGTACCCTGGAAAAAAGTTTGTGTTTTGTGTGTGATCTGCCGAAGAAAAATTCCCAAAAAGTAGTCAGCAAAAATCTACATCAATGACTAGAAGCTATGCTAATGTTCTTCCCTCCCCTGAATGGCGTGACTAAACAGAAAATTCTCTCGGTCAACAGAAGTCGTCGTTTTTCGCTTATAAAAGGAGATGATTTTTTTTGAGTGGGGGTACGAACACGCGTTGTTGTTGGCGAGAAGTGAAAGTTGGATTTGTGACCCCATTTTTTCGTCTCTACGGTGTGTGTTGGACTGTTACGTCGGACTATCATGTGGACTGCGATTTGGCTACAAGTGTTGCGGCCGAGAAACAAAAAATCTATTGCTGTTGCTACGATCAGTTGACAGTTTTTTTTCTTTACCTCAACAATTACATCACTGATCCAAGCAACGGATCAAGTTATCATTTGGAATATGAAATGTTTCTACAAAAATCATTTCATGATGAAAGTGATGAACCATAATATTAGCCTACAAAATTTTCAGAAAAGTTTTAATGTCAAAGATGGCATTTTTTTTTTACTTGCACAATTGTGGGATGAGGTGAAAGCTGAGCAGGGGGGGATCGGTACCACGGTAGAGCTAGTGTTGCAGAAAGTAATGTTAACAAAAATGAAACAAACTGTTTAGAAAAAGAACCAGAGGTGCAGAAAATTATTGAAACTTGTCAGCTTCCTACTGAACACAAAAATCTTCAATCCCTTGATGCAGATGATGAAGACAGTATTCAATATAGTGATAGCTGCAGTCGTAGTGAGTCTATATTAGACGATCAAGTGATGATGAAACAGTATCATGAGGGAAAAAGCAGAGACGTCTATTGAAACACAACTCAAATTCATTGGGCAAAACTCGTGTCAATGACCACTGGAATATCCAGACACGCACATTACAAAATGAAATTATCAAAAAGAAACTGCACATTTGTAAAGTGAAAGAATGTCGTACTCGTGTAAAAAGTGCCATAGAAACTGTCATGAACGGAAATGAAGAACA